GTGGTGTTTAATTTCACCCTAAGAGGTTCCTTCTGATAATTTTGTCTGTCTCTGTTCTCTCCTCATCTCCACCAGCACCTGTACAACTCGGCCGCCTTCAAAGCCCGGACAAAAGCAAGGAGCCGTGTTCGAGATAAACGAGCTGATGTACTTTGAGAGGAGCTTGTTTTCATCTCCACCTCCTTCTGCCTTCCATACACAAGCCAATGAACTACAGACCTGGACCACTGTGAACATTGTGGGTTGGGGGAGAGCTTGGGGCAGGAGCCCCATGGCCTCAACTCAGTTGGAAACCGGACGTGTGCCATGCCCCATTAATTCTCCCACCCTTGTCTGGGGGCTTTTATATATGTATAGAATAATATTTAAATGTTTTGGAGGTTTGAATTGTGGTGGGATGGCCATGGGCACTTTTATTTTTTTAACCAAAAATCTAAGCGAGGTTGGGTGGTGGGGAGGCTGACTTCTCTCCACTGCTTTTTAAAGCCAGTGATTCTTTCTGTTGAGTCTCCCTTCTCTGTCTCCACGGGGGAAAGCAGTCTGCAGGGGGTTTTGTTGCAACGTGTGCAGTGAAATCTAGGGTGGGATCTTCTCTCTGACTCCTCTCTGCTGCTGTGGACTTTCCCATAATGAATTTAGAAAAGAAAGTTGGTTTTGTTGTCAGGGTGGAGACCGCAGTACCTTGGATGGAGGCAGTGAAGGGATCAGCTTCAGAATGGTGCCTTGGGTTCTTCCCCACTGGTGATGGAGGTGCCTTTGTGATGTGATGGATGAAATGTACATTAGGAATCAGTGTAGTTGATTAAAGGCTGGGCTAACAGCGCCATGAAGCGGGTTCTACCGCTCTTCTGCTCATGCAGTCGTTCACTCTTTCTTGCCTGTTCATTGTAGCCTCAGTCACATGTCTCACCATTACAACATATAGTTTTATTCTGATTCCATCCCCCCTAAAATTTTTGGCCTCCCTGCTCCCTCACATAGTGGCTACTGCTTTTGAATCTGGTAAGCTATCCTACTTTGGTGACAGCATGACAGACCAACCACAGGTTTTCTATTTGTGCTACAGACAGAATGTTTCTGAGAGAGACAAAGGCTGAGGCGGGAACCGCAATGCTTTGCCTTCTGACTGCTGCCACTACTGCTAGCCCTCATTCTGTGTTTGGGACCCCTAGTTTCCACCATTGCCTGGACAGGCATAAAAACAGAATCAGTTTCTTACATTTTAATAGGCTGGACCCAGCTCCTTGCCTTCAAGGAGACATTAGGCCTATCCAGGAAAAAAAAAATCTGGCGGCTGATGATATTAACAACTATCATCCAGTCACCAGTATTCCCTTTATTGGCAAGCTGGTGGAGAAAGTGGTGGCTGGTCAGCTTCAGGCTCTCCTGGAGGATAGACCAGTGCCCTTGATCTGTTCTAGTCTGGGTTCAGGCCATTCATGGCACAGAGACAGCACTGGTTGTCCTGCAAGATGACCTCCTGAGGGAGGCCGACAGGGGCAAAACATCTTTGCTGGTCTTCCTTGGCTTTTGATAATGTTGACCATGGTATCCTCCTGGGGAGGCTCTCGGGGTTGGGGATTGGTGGTCAGGCTTTGGCCTGACTCCAATCCTTCCTGGAGGACTGTCCTCAGGGAGTTCAGCTTGGGAAGATGTTGTCTGCTTCGTGGACTCTCCACTGTGGAGTCCTGCAGGGGTCAATCATCTCCCTAATGCTATTTAATATACAGGGGAGGTCATCATGCGTTTTGGAGCTTGCACTTTCCTCCAGGTTCTTCCTAAAACATTGGCCTTACTGATTTGCTCCTCTCAGCAGAAACCATGTGTACTGATGTATTGGATTAAAATGTAAACAAGTAGTAGGTTTAAGTTTACAAATCAGATAAATGACAGGTAAAGCTCATGCCCTTCCAGTGTGACCTCGTCAGCAGTTTGTGTGCCTATGGAGCTTGGTGATGGCAGTGGAAGCTGGTGCTTAAAAAATATCAATGAGGCCTTTCCTTATGCATTTCTCCTCTTCTTGCTGAATTTTACCGACTTCTGGAAAAGATGCATTTATCCTTGTGTTAAAAGGCATCTCAAGCAGAGACTCAAGAAATCTAGTCACCTGGAAGGCAGGACTGGCTTACCCCCAGTTTAGTGCCAAACTGCATTGCTGTTCTAGCTCTTCCTGTTGGGCTACCTGGATTTTCCTACAGCTTTCTTACTGCTGGTTCAACTACGATCCAGACCAAGGTGTATTTGTTTTCTGCAGCTGTATTTGGTACCCGAATGAGCATTGTCGCAGGAACCTAGATGAGCATACTGTAGGACCTAGACTGTTTAGTGTCATTTTTGTTAAAAAAATACAGCAAAATCTAGTCTCCACGAAGATAAGTTTGAGAACAGCTATGTGCTGTTTTTAAAAGCCACTTTGAAGGGGAAAAGAAACAGCAAGGGCATTAAAAGTCCAGTGTGAGGATTTTTATGCAATGTAAAAACCTGTCCATCCACATTCTCTCTTGTATGACAGTATGATTCCCCTTCCATCAGATCTTGATAGTTATGGGGAAAAGATTCTTGTTTTCTAAGTAGTTCTTTGCAGGCTTTCCTATTGGGTAGAACTTGGGTTTTGGGTAATTGAGCAAATATGGAGGCTCTGTTAAAGAGAGAAGGGCACCTTGACCAAGGAAGCTTGTGGCTTTTATTGCCAGACACACATCAAAAGGTGCCATGTGAGCAATATTTTAAATGATTATAAAGTGGAGAAAAGGTACTGATAATATATACAGTATTTAAAATACTGTGTATGTATGGAAAAAAAAACAGCATCTGAAGTGTTCACGGGAGGCACCCCTTCCTCTTTACCAATGGGTAGGGTTTCTGCCAGTCTTCCTCCCTTTCCTGGGTAGCCTCAAGTGTTGCAGCTGTTCCTGTCTGCGGGCCACACACACTTCAGCAACGGGTCTCTAATGCTTCTGGAGAGCTTTCTGCTTTAGGAATTGCAGAGTCCAAACCAACACATGTCAAGTGTCCGAAATGCGCCAAGCAGTGAGTTGGTTTTCTCTCATTGTCACATGAATCGGGCTTCCCCCAAGGAAAGTTAGAACCAAGACGAGTAGTAACTGCCAAGCTCAGGTTTGAGCCCCAGGCTCGCTGGCATTGAGCTGCTTCCATAGCTGTAAACTCACTGCTCTCATTTGTCGAATGGCCTCCTCTTGTGACTCCAGCCACTGAGCAAGCGTCCGAAGTGACTCACGTTGCAGGACTGTAGAGGAGAGAAGGGAGAAACAACATGATTACCATGCAAAAGGTAGGCTGCCTCCCTGCCTTTTATTATTATTATTATTTTCACTCAGGTATCCCAGAGTCTGCCAGCCTATGTTTTGTTGCTGGTAAATGTACTCAATCCATTAAAGGGATTGCGGTGCAGTTTAGGGACTTGTAGACTGCCTGTTAGAGGTCCTCAATCCAGTAAGTCGTCTTGAAAGACTGGCTGTGGTCTGCATAGCCCGTCCCTATTTTTAGTCTTGTGGGCCAAGGAGCAGATAGAACTCAATATGGTCAATTGGGGCTACCCTGCAGTTCCCTGTTGGGAGGCAATACCACACCTAAAGACAATTCCTAATGCTACACGTGTGTAGCAGGTGGTAGCAATGGCTGCCAAGGTACAACAGGGATACGTGTTACTTTGCCAAAAGCAGACTGGAAGGCCTTCCATAATCCACTAAATATACAAAGCACTTAATTTATTTCACATACGGCATTCATTAAGCTGTTACTATGAGAACTGGAATAGAATATAACTTCAGTGCCCTGCCCGCTAGTTGACAGACAGTAAAAGTAGGTCCCTTCCTCATTCCTTCCTCCATTCATGGTTAAAAGAGGCCATAGGATGGAAATCCCTGACACTGCTGCCATTCCGTATGTGCTTTCAGTTTGACTCTGGGATGGGAATCCTCAGGAACAGGTCTCTGGCCTTTATAGATTTATGCATCACTTCACAAACTATCAGCTGAAGTATAATTTCTGACATATTAAATAGCTTTTCTCTGAGACTGCAGATCCTGTGTCTCTGAAATAGAGGGAATAGGATGGTTTCAGATGTGGAGGGGGAACTGAGTAGACTAGGCCAAAGCTGACTGGGTGGACAGAAGCCCTGAGGATGTCAAAGGGCAAGGTGTTCAGTGAGAGGGAGTCTGGTGGAAGTCACTTTTAAAAGTTGCTGCTTTCTTTGAAGAATGCTAATGCTGGCTGTCTGTTGCAGCTGAACTGAGAAATGCTCTTGGTCTCCAGCACTTTCTCTTGCATTACCCAGAAGCATCGCTGTGGGGTGCTATGGCACCTTGGCTTCTTATCACCAAAAGGTCCCCATAGAAATCCAGAGCTTGGAAAAGTAAAAACAAAACAAAAAATCATTTCTTTGCTGCTAAGCTGGCAGCAGGGAATAATAAAATTAATCATAACCATGATCATTATTAACATGTTATTAGTATAGTAGTTAAAAAACAAAGTAACAACAAATAGTAACTCACATTTAATCCCTCAAAAGTAATGAATTAAGTTACTACAAAGCATTAGTATTGCTAAAAATCCAATTCAGATAACCAGCTTTTGGATGGTTGCCTATGTTAGCCATATTTACAGGCTTTACGTTAGACACACAGTCTTCAGGCTGGGCTCGCAACACCTCGGGCTCCTCCAGCTGTTCTCCTCCCTCCGCTTGCCCACAGGGAGGGATGGTATGGTCCCACCATGACTTCCTTCTTAGGGTCCACCCGTCAGCCGCCAACCTGTCCTCAGACCTACCACTCAGATAGACCGCCAGGGTGGCCAGGCCTAGACTGGCCACAACCAGCACTCCGAGGAGGGCAAAGAAGCCAGTGGGGCAACAGGTTGGGCCAAAGCAAGGACAACAGGTGAAAGTGGGCATCATGTGGAAATTCTGGATGGGTACAAAGGACGAGTCCTCTTCATTTGGGAAAGTGAAGTGCTTGGAGGAGGCCAGGCTATGCGGTGTCCACGGGCTGTTGTGCTGAGTCTGGCTGCTCCCTGCATAAGAAAGGAAGAGAAAGATGGTGTTGGAGTAACAGAAAGTTGCTCTGAATCATCATGAACCCCTGTGATACTCCTCCTGTGCTAGCTCAATCCCTGCAGTTTTGCTTTCAGGGCAAAAAAGTCACTCATTGGCCCATGATTAGTTCAAGTTGACTTTTGAATAGGCCTTGGTTCCTACAGCTAGGCTTGAGGCTGCTGATGAGGCAAGAACATTGAGGGGAACACACATCTTCTGAAGTACAGTGGTGCATCAACTTACGAACATCCCAACTTATGGACATTTCGAGTTACGACCAACTCCAGCCGCAAAATTTTGCTTCGACTTGCGTCTGGAGCTTCCACTTATGACCAGAAAAAGGCGGGGAATTCAAATTTCTAACTGTAGGTGGTGACGAGGCTGTTTCTTTGTACCTCTTTCGCCCCAACAGTTAGAGCAGAGGTCATCAACTCCTGGTCCGCAGCCTACTTTCGCCCCAACAGTTAGAGCAGAGGTCAACAGTTAGAGCAGAGCCTGACCGGGGTCGCGAAGACAGACCTACCGCCCCAGCCCCTGCACGCACTCACCCCTGAAAAGGGTATTTGCACCTGCGCGTGCTCGTGCCAGTCCCCAGCCTGAGCCTGACCGGGGTCGCAAAGACAGACCTCCCGCCCCAGCGCCTGCACGCACTCACCCCCGAAAAGGGTGTTTGCACCTGCGCGTGCTTGTGTGCACTTACAACCATTTCAAGTTATGTCCATCTTCTGGAATGGATTATGGCCATAAGTCGAGGCACCACTGTATTAGTACCTTCGTGTCTGCTGGATCCGTAGTGCAAGTCGCTGATGGATTCCACAGCGTGCAGGTTGATTTCTGCTACATCATTTTCGCTTAGTTCCATCAGTTCCCTCTCGGAGGAAGCAGCCTTCTTCACCATAGTGTCTGCAAAGGAGAGAAGAAAGGTTGGGGAGCTGTGCGAAGGCCTCTCTCCTCTCAGCTGAAACCTGACTTTGCTGTTCCATCCACTCCCTGCTATGCCTTTTAGTGGAAAGTCATCGGTCAAGTCTCCCTGCCCTGTTAGGCACAGGAGTTTCCTGTCCCGCAATGTTGTTGCCAGGAAGTGAGGGGAGAGGACAGGACTTTTCCTTGCTTCTTTGTGGCAGCCTTCTTAGAGACTGCCGACCCCTGCACGCACAAAGCAAGCTTGGCTGTCTCTCTTCACTGCTGCTCTCATAGTTCCAGCATAGGCTTTTTTCCTGCTGTGATTTGGTCTCACAGCTCAGTGCTAGAACACAGACTTTGCACAGAGGAGGCCTTAAATTCAACACTTGGTAGCTCCAGTTAGGGCTGGGAATAACCCTGGCCTAGAAACCCTGGAGATCCATTGCTATTCGAAGAGTTAAACATCCTGAGACAGACTCACCAAAGGCTCAATCTTGATGAAAGCAGACCCTATATTCTGCCTCCAGCCATTATTTTTCAAAGCTGCCACATGTTTCTCTAGAAGGGGAGCCAACCTACTTCTTTGTGGGGCTGCACAGAACTGGTAGGGACTGAGTTTGTGGGTGCTTCAAAATAAGTGCACCACAATTCAACAATTCTCTTTCAAAAGGAACGTTAAAGCAACCATATGTGGACAGAGTACTTACTCCACTTACTCCATGGTTGAACTGGAAAAGTCCAGAAGGACAGGAAGTGAACATGGTAAAATGTCTTTTAAACCCAGAAAACCAGTTGCATTCAGATGGTTCTGATAATATTTCTAAGGCTTTATTTATTTATTCCATTTATACCCCGCCTATATGGTCATTGCGACCACTCTAGCCGGCTGATAATTTCAGTTCAAAAATTCAGTGCACTCACAAGCATATCCACTGTTTCATTCATATATTTGACATGCAGCACCTGATGTATCAGAAACAGTGCTGGTTAATCTGCCAGGTACTAATTTTGGTCTCTGCAGACGGAACAGAGATTGGAAAACTTTATTTTTTTGGTGCCACAATTCACAAGCTCTGGCTATTGGCCAAGAAATTATGGGCTTTGTAGTCTTTAAAGATCACTTTTTCACAGCTCAGGGAAGGATGCCTTGGCGCGCGTGTGTGAAATGCATAGAGTTCAGCTTTGACTCTTGTGTGTCAATTGATCATCCATGCAATGTTTTACTCCTGATTATAGTTATTTGTAAGTTGAGCTGCAAGGACATAAGCTTTCTTTTACCCTTTTCATGTGATATGAGTTTGCAGAGAAAATCCTAGGCAAGAATACAGGCCCAGTGCTTCCAGTCCTGAGATCATTTCATTTTCCCAGTTCCCTGGAACTTTCTAGCTTTAATGGTTTAACTTCCATCTGACTTTGGAGGGTTGGAGGAGGATATGCTGATTGCTAAGGCCATCCTTGGTCTGTGCCTCCCTCCCCCATATAAACAGCTTAGTAGGCACCCAGTCAGGTCAGAGGCAGGCTTTTCAGTGCCTCTTTAGCAGGGGTGGAATGCTGGGCTGTGTTCCGTGGGTCACACATAATTAACCCTTGTGTCCTAATATAACTGTTGGCCTGAGTGCATACACGGCGTAGAGATTCTCTTCTCAAGCTACAAGCCTGAGGTAGATGATGGTGCTACTGTTTTGCAGTCGTTTCTCCCAAGCCTAGCTTTACCCTTTTACAATCATTCTGAAGCAAAGTTACTCAATCTCTCCATGTTCTTTTCTGTCTTGCTTGCTCTTTAACAGCACAAAACCAGGCAAAAATTCTGGTGGTGGTATTATTTATGAAGTGAAAAGGCAGTCACATAAAAGACTACTAGCCGAACCTCTGCATATCTTTTAGTTGTCAAAAGAGTAACATTCTGCCGTGGGACACCCCCCTGCTGCCACTCAGCTGGCAACCTGATACCTCCGCAGGAATGCTGTCATGATGAGAGAAGTGTTGCCAGCGAGATCTTGGCTCAACGTTACGAATGCCTTGGCATCACATGTTTCAAGGGCATAGATGACACAAGGAGCGTAATGACACTACAAAGAGTTGCACCGCACATTTGCAAGGCATTTTATACAAGAGTGTCATCTTACCCACGCTTTCTCGAACGGTTCCTGTACCTTTAAATTACAGCACAAGCAGAAAGTCAACAAGCAGTGCTCATCACTTCTATATTCCTCCCTAATAGACTGGAGGGAGATGAAGAAAGAAAAAATGTATGTTGAATTTCTGCTTCCTATCTATTAAAGGCACAATGCATGCATGTGCAATCATGCATGTTTACTCAAGGTTTGTTCTGAGTGGAGCTTTAATCAGGCTTGGGGGAAAAATAACAGAATATTCAGTTAACTATTTTAAGGGCACTGAACAAATGAAATGGTGATCCTTATAATATCTTGTGTGTGGATAAGAGCCTTGTATCATGTTAGTAATTATACTGTGAAGTATATCCATGGATTATCGAAGAGGATGCCATGCGCAGCACACATAACAAAAATAAAAGCAAAATTATTGGGCTGCCTGAAAAGCTAATAGATCTGTGTTGTAATCCACAAATCTCACAATGGAAATAAAGCCACAATAGTTCTGTTCTCATTTTTGTTTTAGTTAGACAAGGAGCACATAACTTTCTTAATTTTAAAACTCTGCCCATATTAAAGGTAAATGTTCCCCTTGGCATTTAGTCCAGTCGTGTCTGACTCTAGGGCGCGGTGCACATCCCTGCCTCCAAGCCGTAGAGCCAGTGTTTTGTCTGAAGACAGTTTGCGTGGTCACGTGGCCAGTGCAACTAGACACGGAATGCCGTTACCTTCCCACTGAGGTGGTACCTATATATCTACTCCCAAAGGGAATTAAACACTTAACTGTGTTTAATTTTATTCTTTCAGCAATACATATGCCAATCATTCACTGATATGGTGAATCTGCTATACCATTTGAGACTATAACATGGGGAGTGGGACCTTGCATGTTTCAATGCTCCTCAATTCAGATTTTCCAAAAAACAACACTGCACATGAAGAGCAACATGTGAGGAGAAATTATGGGCTGAAATCCTATTACATAAATTGTGCCGCACAAGGTTGATGATGTCATCAGATGTGGTGATTTTTTGTGTGGATTGAAACTTTAAAAAAACTGATAGCTAGAAAAGGGAGTGAACCAGCCCATCCCCACAGTGGACCAAACAATGGGACTATTGCCCATCTGATTACATCCTAAATTTCTTTTATAAACACTCATCTGGACTTCTCCAAGCATTTTTTTTACTTTTAAGCATTTATCCTTCATTTTAAATGGCAGCTTGTGATGAGAACAGTTGATCAAGCATTTACTGGTCCCTTTTGAAGTTAATGGATGTTTATGACTTTGAAGAAGGGGCACATTCCCAGCTGGAGCTAACACTCATGCATAGTCAAGGTCAACTGGGCTCATCGGGTGACACCCAGAAGAGACAGTGTGCTGTAGTGGGTAAAGCATAGGCCTCTCACAGATTGGAGGGGGTTAAAAAGAAGGAAGAAGACCTCATATGTTTCCTTCCCCTTGGAGGAAACCTAAGATATAAATGTGACAAAGCTGATGGCGCAGCATCTTCCCTGTGGCAGCAGAGTCAAATGTAATTGTACACTAAACCAATGTAATGCTACCATTTTCGTCTTGTTCCTTTCACCCTCATATTCCTCTGCATCCCATGGTTCATGATTTTTGTATCATTAATGCAGTACTTCCTCAAATCAAAACAAAGCAGGAAATGAGTAGTATATAGAATGTCCTGTAGGCATGAAAGGAATTTTTTAAAAAACTTCATCAACAAATGACAGTGGCATTTGCTGAAAAGCCACCTAGCTTTAGAAGGTGATTTCCAGTGTTTCAATCACAATTTCATAATGTATAAGAATGGACATTTAGATAATTTTGGGTAATATCTGTGAATGCAAGAAGTGAGGTTTGAGAGAGGTAATGTGAAAGACAGAACTATTCTGAAGACACTGAGTATGTGTGAATCAGCCCTAAGAGTCATGTTCTGCGTGAGATGGGGGCAGGATAATACCTTAAAATAGGGATAATACGTATAACATAAAAGTTTATAGGATTATCTTATAAAATGTAGCTCTGTCCTGTAGCCTTAAGAAATATGGAAAGCCTGTATCTCTTATATTTTACTGCAGAGATTGGGAATGTTGGTGGAGTGAATTCTGGTCATCCCTCACCATAAACTATGCCAGTTAGAGCAGGCAGGTAATCCACTCCAACAACCTCTGAACAACCACACATTTCCCAGCTTATGATATCATTCCATAAAGCTCTGTAGTCAGAGTCGGCAGCTTTTCTGCAGGAGAGTAACCATTGTTTCAGTGGGAGTTTGGGGTTGGGGAGCAGCAGCTTCTTTCTGAAACACCGGGATAAAATACAATAGAAAAAAAAAAAACCACCCCTGGGCTACAGCAGTGGCACCCAATGCTCCTGCTTGATCCACTTCTTCTTCTTGTTTCAACTTACATACTGTCTCATAGCGCTAGAGCACTCTTTGGGTGATTTACAACATAATTATGCAAACAACAACTTGCCCCCCCCAGATGGGTACTCATTTTACCAAGTATGGACAGAAGGAAGGTTGAGTCAACCTTGAGCCAGCTACCTGAACCTGTCAGGATCGAACTCAGGTAGTGAGCAGAGTCTTGACTGCAGTACTGCAGTTTAACCATTGGGCCATGGGGCTCACTTGGTCTTTCCTTACATACTGTCTCATAGCGCTAGAGCACACTTTGGGTGATTTACAACGTAATTATGCAAACAACAACTTGCCCCCCCAGATGGGTACTCATTTTACCAAGTATGGACAGAAGGAAGGTTGAGTCAACCTTGATCCAACTACCTGAACCTGTCAGGATCGAACTCAGGTAGTGAGCAGAGTCTTGACTGCAGTACTGCAGTTTAACCATTGGGCCATGGGGCTCACTTGGTCTTTCTTGAGTGGAAGGTCAGGGAGTATGTACTGAATGCTACATTGTCTTGATGAAATTTGCATATGAGCTGGATATAGGTGGCAGAGTGACATTTTTCACCTTTGCCCTACATACTTCCCCTTCTCCAACTATTTTGCTCAATATCTGTGAAGATTCTCAGTCATCCAAGTGTGGTTATCTGGAAGCTGAGTCATGGAAACTGGACTTCCTTCTTAGGTTGAAATGTTTTGCTACTCATCCAAGTAGCTCATCCTACCAACTCTCCTCAGACTGAAGAAGCTACTTGGATGAATAGCGAAACATTTCAGTCCAGTTGCCATGACTCAACTTCCAGATACTTTGCTTGATGAGTGACGAAAGGAGAGTTCTGTTTGCGGGGGGTGGGGGGAGTGGGACATGGGAGTGGAGATGTGGCCTCTGTTGCATCCATTCTACCAGCAGTCACAGTCTCTGGGTGAGGAACTGGTGTTAACCCTAACCGAGCTGCACCTGACCGGCTTGGCCTGAAGGAGCAAGCAATGGAGCTAGAACTGCTCATTCAGGTGGATTCGCACTTGGGTCATTTCCTTCATGCTCACACTTTTAAACCTGCTCAGCATCGCAGTCCAGTTGCCATGACTCAACTTCCAGATACTTTGCTTGATGAGTGACGAAAGGAGAGTTCTGTTTGCGGGGGGTGGGGGTAGTGGGACATGGGAGTGGAGATGTGGCCTCTGCTGCATCCGTTCTACCAGCAGTCACAGTCTCTGAGTGAGGAACTGGTGTTAACCCTAACCGGACTGCACCTGACCGGCTTGGCCCGAAGGAGCAAGCAATAGAGAGTGAGCTGCTCATTCAGCTGGATTTGCACTTGGGTCATTTCCTTCATGCTCACCTATGCCACAAGCAGGTGTAACACTTTTAAGCTTGCTCAGCATCAGCAGGGATACCCAGGTCTCTGCTACCAGCTTCTCCATGCTATACCTGCAAGCCAAGGTGAAGGTATCTGGCAGGAGTCTTGCTGCTTCTCAAGCCCACAATAGCCACACATTAGTCCCACCACCCACATGAAGCCTTAGACCAGATTCGTTTCTGTCCCTCTCCCTCTCCGGGCCATTATCCTCATTGCTCCCTGTGGCCAATGGCAAGGCATACGGAAACTGGACTCTGCCCTTTGGCCCTTGAGGCAGCAGGCCCATTGGCCAGAAGAGTTCCCCACCACCACCACCACGTTACCAATCACAGCAAAGACAAGAGAAGGGGGCCAACCTGTTCAAGACCATAGCCTAGCACTCCAAAGGGTTGCCATATTTGCCCCATCTCCAGAGCAAACACTTCAGTCTCTACACCCCACCCCCTTTTGCCCAGACAGATCGTACCTTCTCCAATCTCGCCGGACATCCCTATAGCCAGACTCCTCTTACTGCAGTTGTTGTGGCGGAAAAGGAGAAGAGGGGAAAATCTGGAAGAGGCTGGGAGAGGGCCTGTGCACATCCCTGGGAACTGAAGGGAAGTAAACACAAGCTTCTGCCTGTCACATCAGCGGCTCAGGCTTAAAATAGGAATAAGAGAAGACCAAGGAGGAGCTATAGATAGAGGCAGAATAGAGGGGCGAGGATTCGGCACAGGCTATATTAAGCGGGAGTCCAGAGAGCAAGCTGGGGATGTGGAAAGAGGGAGAGAGAACTACAGAGGGAAGGGATAGTTCCTTCCAACAGAGCAAAGGCGGAGGAAGCAGTCTGGTGGAGTGGGGAAAGCATCCTGCTTAGGGTGCTGCAGAACTGGCCCTGCTATTAGGCAAAGTGAGACAATCTCCCCTGGGAACAAGGGTGGAGGAGCTACAGTGCCAGTTGTCTGAAGGACACCACTCTGCCCTGCCTACTTCAGCAGCATGCTGTCTCACTGTCAGCATCAAAAGGACAATCCAGCTGCCAGTTCAGCTGGCTGGCAGAGGACATTATGTTGCCCTTTGCCGCAGGCAGCAAAGTGTCTGGAGGCCAGCAAGCTTGTGCTGAAAAAATTGGAATGCACTGAACTTCTTCTCCAGAGATAACCTCCATAGCTGAGATTTTTTCCCAGATAAGAATTAGCATCTAAGCAGCATTTTTCATGACTGGAGCAATATCCAGAACCTGTTGGCCCAAAAGAGGACACGACACTGAAACATGGAAAGGCAGTCAACAATAGCATCAATTGTGAACTGGATGCTGGTGAGAAGGTTGCAGTTCTCACTATAAATGATCCCAGGGGGTGGAGTATGATAATTTCCCACGAGCAGGACAGAGCACAGCTCCAGCCTTCCCCTCATCTATCCTTTGGAATCTAGTGGCTGGGGGTTTCAGGCTCCACTCCCTGTCCCCTCCCACTCAGTTGCTATAAGAGCACTGTTGCCACTCAACATAAATGTTTATGCAAAATCCTTGAGTTACCTAGTACTGTATACTTCTGCAGGTAAAATAAAATCAGTGGAAAACTCAAAAAGATGCAAGTTACCTCTTAGGTAAAGGTAAAGGTTCCCCTTGACATTTAGTCCAGACATGTCCAACTCTAGGGCGCGGTGCTCATCCCTGTTACCAAGCTGTAGAGCTAGCGTTTGTCCAAAGACAGTTTCCGTGGTCACGTGGACAGCATGACTAGACACGGAACGCCATTAACCTCCCACCGTGGTGGGTACCTATTTATCAACTCGCATTTTTACATGCTTTTGAACTGCTAGGTTGGCAGGAGCTGGGAGAAGCGACGGGAGCTCACTCCGTCTCATGGATTCGATCTTACGACTGCTGGTCTTCTGACCTTGCAGCACAGAGGCTTCTGCGGTTTAACCCGCAAAGCCACCTCAGACAAAGCCAAATATTATGCATTGTCATATGTCCCTTGTACATTCATCACCAGGTGAGTGCCAGAGAGTATGGCACACTTCAGATGACAATTCTCCTTTCAAACAGACAGAAAGAAAGGTGCCCTACATTTTTATACCTCAAAAGTCCACTGCCACACATTTTTGAGCCCTCTGGTCTACCAAACATTCACAGTGAGTCTTTGAGTCTTTGTTTGTAAATAGCTGTGTCAGTTGCGCACAAGATCTAACTGATCCTTGTAGATTGCTTGCTGATAGTTTACAGCTGTTGACAGTCAACATTTAATCCTCATAGCATGTGAAAGATGACTCAAGTACAGAACAATTCCAAGCAGCAGAAGGATGCGGCATAGAGAAGCACAATGAGAGCAAAGGCATTCCTTGATCTCTTTCCCTACAGCAAGCAGCCTTTCATTGTCCCAGTTAATGATCTACATAATATGCCAGGAAGATAAGCTCACACAGCCATAGGCACACTGTCATGCACAGTGGTGAATACACAATCAAGCGGAACATTGTATTCAAACAACTGATTGTTACCATACCCTTGGATGTGCTCCCAAATTGAGCACATATGTATTCTAGCATTTAAGAATGAAAAGGACAGTATTTTAAGTTGAAAACACACATTTTGGAAACTCTCTGTATTTTATTTGTTCCCATTTCAGCTAATGGTATGTGCAAGTCATTTAACGAGAGTTTGTTGTGGATTTTTCCGGGCTCTTTGGCCATGTTCTGATGGTTGTTCTTCCTCACGTTTCACCAGTCTCTGTGGTCATGGGCATCTTCAGAGGACAGCACTGGAAGAACAACCTTCAGAACACGGCCAAAGAGCCCGAAAAACCCACAACAACCATTAGATCCTGGCCGTGAAAGCCTTCGCGAATACATTTAACGAGACTCTTATAATCATAGAATTAAAAGTAGAACAGAGCCAATGCATGAAAAAAAAATCTAAATCTTTCACATTTCTTTTCTTTATTGCTTTGAGGATTGTTTCATTTTAGGCAGACTGCAGCCATTTTTAGCCATATTTCTGATACAACTCTTCATTCTTGTGCTTTAAACTGTTTAGGAATTGCATAAAAAGGAAAACCAACAATGTGAGGTGGTTGCTAGTCTTGTGAAGGATTACAGAACTAGACCTGTGTGCGGCCTGTCAGTATTCAGGGACCATTGTTTCTTCTTGGAGGAAACACTGGAACTCTTCCATCTGGGAACAATACCAGTAGGAGGTGGTGTCATAAGAGTGACAACTATGGGTACAGCCATTTGAGATTTGGTTTTTATACATTCTTATTCTCTTCCAGAATCATTCGTAACATATAAGTGAAACAAGCCACCAGCTCCAGAGACCCTGTGACTCTGAAGGTCTGTTGGTGCGGGTGGAGGGGGGACCAGAGGAGAGGGCTCCTGCCTTCGTACCCTATCTGTGGGTTTCCTGTATGCCTCTAGTTGGCCACTGAATGGGGGTACTGGGCTGAGGGACTGAGTGGATCAGACTAAGTGAGGGTACTTTGTCTGATCCACTGGGCTCTTCTTCGCTCAGCCTCGTACATATGATACCACCAGTGGCCGCACTGCTGAGACAAAAATGGGTGCCTGACATGGACCCAAGCAGCTAAGCTTTTGGACCAAAACCTCCCATGCTTAGTATGTATGGCCCCACTGTTCTGTAGATCAATAGACGAGCAAAAGGCAGATTGACTGACATCAGCATATGCACATCGGTACAGAGCTGCCTTAGGTTGACTCAAAGCTTTATTCCCTTAGCCTAGCATTCCCTGTTGTTTGCAGCTGTCCAAGGTCTTGGGGTGAGGTCTCTCCCAGCTTTGCTGTCTGAGGACTCCTCTCTCAGAAATGTGTCCCTCCAGATGTTTTTGGATAGCAATTCCCAGCAGCCCTAGCCAGGAAAACTATGACGGTAGGGGAAGATAGAAAATGTGGTCCAACAAGAGTGGAAGACATATAAGAACATAAGAAGAGCCCTGCTGGATCAGGCCAAGGGCCCATCTAGTCCAGCTTCCAGTAACTCACAGTAGTCCCATCAGATGCCTCTGGGAGCACCCGAGACAATGAGATACGTACCTCTCTCCTGATACCCCTCCCCTGCATTTGGCATTTGGAGGGACCTTCCTTTGAAGCCTGGAGATTATACATCCCCATCGTGGCTTGTAACCTGCGATGGACTTTTCCTTCAGGAATCTGTCCAATCCCCTTTTAAAGGCATCTAGGTCAGACAACAACACGCTGGGTAAAGAAATGTTTTCTTTTGTCTGTTCTCATTCTCCCAACATTCAATTTGAGTGGATGTCCTCTGGTTCTGGTATTGCGTGAGAGGGAAAAGAGCTTCCCTCTATCCAGCTTATCCATCCCCTGCATAATTTTACACATCTCAGTTTTGTCCCCCCTCAGGTGCCTGTTCTATATCCTTGTTCTCAAGGGAAATGCTAGGAACTGGATGTTGGTTCTCCTCTAAATTCTCACTCCCAGCCCTCATTTTAGCAGCAGATGATGAGAAGGCCTAGTGGATGGCTAAAAGTGGTGCTGTTACCCCATTAAGCTACAGGGGAACATGGAACATTACACAGGAGTGGTTTTCAGCTACTTGTTGGTGAGGAAAATAGACCTGTGGGTGTTCATAACTTTTTGTTTTAAAGGCTAACTTGATTGGACCTGTAACTCAGGTGATACAGCAAGGCTGAAGGCTGGCCTCAACCTCTGAAGAATTTTATTTCAATCAAAGCTATGTCAGATCAAGTGTGATGCGAAGTTCCAGAATCTGTCAAGTCTCTGTAATGTTAAGAGAGGAGGGACCTGCATAAATTAAGCATGGATAATCATCATCCTGAGGGAGGTTCCCGTTTCCAGCCATTTCCTTCACCATGTCAAATTCTTTCTACAGATGCTTGCATAAAATGGTACAATATCATTGGTACCCAATGGTACAATATCAAACCATTACAGCTGCCAAGTGTCCTTTTAAGTTTAATAGATGTGTTTTATTGCATAGTTTCGAAACACCCGTGTAAATCCTCAGCTCCACATAATTCTGAATAAAAAATAGGAAAGGTATCTTATAACCGAGCAGTTGATTACAGTAGTTGATCAAGGCCATAAATTGCCTAGTCTGGGGAAAGGCTCTCTAGTGTTTCAGCAGTCTTTCTCCACATTGGCCATCTGATATTCCAAACTGGATTGAATCTGAAGCCACCCAACATGCAAAGCATGTGGCTGGCACTGAGCTACGGCCTCTTCCTGGACATGCACATCTCCTGAGATGTTTTCATCTTTAAAACCACTAACTGACATCTGTGATTATTTTAACCATGAGCAGAAAGGACAGGAGACAGAAAGTGTGTGTAGTGGCCCATGTTTACTGTTTTCCTACATCTCAGGAAACATGTCATTCTCCACTCAGCCAATGGAAGGATCACCTGGCTGAGGGGAAAATAAAATTCTCTGGAACAATATCAAGGTAGTCCTAACATTAAAGTGCTTGTGCCCTGTAGGTACAGTTATCGGAGTTCTGTCTTTTTATCATAAACGGAAGGAGGACAAATGTTTGACCTCATGATAACGTGGTTGCCACGTGCTGCATCATAGACCTCATAATACTGCATAGCTTGGTTGCACTCTGGTCCCTTGATAGGGCCTGTCCACTGTGGTCTCTCACACCAGCTGCCAGTCCATTCAGGATAGCACAGGCAGTGGAACTGCTCCCAGGCAGACACTTCCTGGTGCTGAAAATCTCTCTCCCCTTCCCACAGCTGAGGATCCAGGTGGAGGAAGGTTCCCAGCTTATAAGGTTGCTTTCTCACACATCGTCCATTCCCATGGCACAGTTGGCGGCTGCACAGGTGGGCAGCTGTGGTTACATTGACAACATATGGCCCCAAGGTGGTGATGATGTAGTCACGAAGGCTCCTGCAGCTCTCCTGGAAGACAGAAAGCCTGAATTACAACTTAGAACATTAAAAATATGAGAGCCTTAGAATAGCCATGGGGGTCCAGACCACACATCTATCTCCTTCAGTCGTCTATTCCCATTCTGGCCAAACAGATGCCTATGAGGAGCTCCCAAATAGGACACAAGTGCAACATGACCTTTGTGTTCATGTCTGCCTACAGCTGATGTCCAGAAACATGCAAGCTCTTATACTGAATACAGTGGTGCCTCGCTTAAGGAGTGCCCCGGTTAACGACGAAATCGCATAGCAATTTGGTTTTTGCGATCGCAAAGGCAATCGCATTGCGATATTTTAAATGGGAAAAAATCGCTTTGCGATGATCGGTAAGCTGTTTCGCTTACTGATTTTCACATAGCGATGTTTTCCCAACAGCTGAGGACACAAGTGCAACATGACCTTTGTGTTCGTGTCTGCCCACAGCTGATGTCCAGAAACATGCTAGCTCTTATACTGAATATATAGTCCTGGTGGTGTCCAATAGCCACTGACAGCTATATCCAGGGCTTGAAAAATGCACTCATCCACTCGTCTGTGACGAGTGAAAAAACGTTGCTTGATGAGCCACAGCTCCCTCCCTCCCTGCCTCCTTACCCTCTGCCTGTCCCTCTCTCTTTCAATTAACCTGCAGTCCTCCCCTCCCCACTCCCATTGCCAAAGGAAAACAGCCATCTTCTCACAAGAAGAGAGTTCCAGCGGCACATAGATATATAACTATGCAGGAGAATGTAGAGTAGTTGCTGGAGAATATGGAGATACCCTGCTCCCAATTTCAACCGAAGGAGGACACATCCTGAGGTGGGAGGGAAGCGTGGCTCCTTAAGAGGCCGGGAGCTTTTGCTTTCAGTTTTATTTTTGCTGGAGACATTCAAAAGAAAGGCATTCAAAATACAAGCTTCATGACTCCACAGACATGCAGGTAACAAAGCAACCCAAGTTTGAGGGTATATTTATTTTGGGTTTGTACACATTGTTATGTAGAAATAAAAGTGAACAAGTGCCTAGTTTAAATTTGTTAAGATAAATTGCAAGGCTATATTCTGGTCATGCTGACGTGAAATTTTTGACTGACTAGTGAGATATTCTAAAACTTTTCAAGCCCTGGCTATATCCACTATGAATTTGTCCAGTTCCTTAAAAAAACTGGCTAGCTTGGGGGCCACTACTGCATTTTATGCTGGGAAATCCCACAGTTCACTGGGTGAAGAAATAATTCCACCAAAGCAGGGAAAGAACACTGCCAAGCAGGTGCAAGAACCACCACTGTGGTAGGTAAAAGTGTGTCGGTTTTCTGCCTGAGGTTCATTCTCCTCTTAGGCAGGCTTTGGTTAATTAATTAATTTCTATCTTGAAGAGATACTCACAGGTGAATTAGAATAAGAGAGGTCACCCCAAAGAGCAACTCCTGCAGTTCCAAGTGCGGCACTCTCACCAATGGTATAGGCCAGGTCAGCCTGAGTAAAGAAAAGAAGGAAGAAAATATTTAACATCTAGCAGCTGTATATGTAGATGAGGTGCACACATTATTCTCTATGTGGTATTAAGCCTGCATTAGACCTATTCAATCATTGAAGCTACCAACATGAATTTGACCCAACTCCAGGAAGCAGGGGAAGATAGGAGGGCCTGGCGTGCCCTGGTCCATGGGGTCACAAAGAGTCGGACACGACTTAACGACTAAACAACAACAACAACAAAAAGATCTATTCAATAGTTACAAACGTAAGCTGAGGGTATTTATACTCCCATCCGAGCACACCGTCGGACACAACTTAATCACTAAATAACAAAAAGACCTATTCAATAGTTACAAATGTAAGCTGAGGGTATTTATACTCCCATCTGAGCACACTGGGTGGAGAGATTTAACACTATCCACCCAGTGTGGCAGGATGGGAATTCGAATCATTGAATCATAAAATGGTACGGGTGAAAGGAAGAGCACCTAAAGCTTCCCTAAGGATCAAACAACATGTAAGTCTTGTGACTGATGAATTGATTTGAAGGCAGACTATTAATATGACATAACTATCTTCAGATACTTGAAAGTCTGTCATTTGGAAGATGGCACAAACTCCAGCTCAGGAAGATAAAACTCAATGGATCCAAATTACAAGAGAGGCAATTTCAACATTAGAAAGAACCTCTTGACAGTAAAGAGTTGTTCAACAGTGAAAATGATGGCACAAACTCCAGCTCAGGAAGATAAGACTCGATGGATCCAAATTACAAGAGAGGTAATTTCAACATTAGAAAGAACCTCTTGAGAGTAAAGAGTTGTTCAACAGTGAAAAAGACTGCCTTGGAAGGTTCTGGATCCTCCTGGCCCTAAGGGCTGGGCATGGAGATCTTAAACTCCTTGTATGGTGTGTTGTACTGGTGATGGAAGATTCTCCTAGGGGACAGGACATGGCTTGAAATTGGGCTGTGGGCTGGACAGGGGAACCCTGAAGACTGCATGAGGCCCATGGGTCACAGATTCCAGATCCAGATGCTGAGCCATCAATTCAGTGGAAGACCAAACACGGTAGGAAAATGGATATTTGCCAGCCTGAATCCCATGGAGAAAAGGCAAAACAAAAATATAATGCTGAATAGAAGCTAATATTCCTGGTGAACAAAGCCTGATCCTCCAGATCTTGTTGAACTGCAATTCCCAAAATTGTTCCCCCTACTCCTGCTCTCTGCTGGTTAGGGCTGATGGGATTTCTGTATCCGGAAGGGCACATCTTGCCCACCCCTCCTTGACAGGATTGTTTCCAAAAGTCTCCTTCAGCTTGCTGCATGCAGCTAGCCTCTTCTTTCAACATCTCATATTTTAATGTATTTATTTTAATTTTATTTATTTAGATTTATACCCCGCCCATCTAGACCAAAGGTCTACTTAGTTCTTACCTCGGTAAGATACTTTGATGAGTGTCTGTAGGAAACTCTGGAATAGGCTATCACAGGGAGAGGATGCTTGGGGCCAAACTGTGCCACACGTAATGCCTCTCTGAGGCGGTGGTGAACGTATCTCTGGTGGTGAGATTCTGGAAGCTTCAAAGGGAGATATATGCTGGGGTAGAGGGCTGAGGAAACCTCCCACAGCCACATGAGGAGATCATTATTCTGAACCTCCTTGGGGTTACAATGTGCTGTGTAGTTATCCTCTTTCTCCCAGTTGTCATTGAAGCAGTCAGGAAATCGGTAGAAGCCCCAGAGGCCCTGTGGCCTCAGTTCTCTCCCCATCGCTAGTGTGGCCTCCATGAGTGCTCGAGCTGCCTCTTCAAACTCCAGCTCAGCAAAATAGGATTGTTCATTGCCAGACAGACCAGGAAACCTTTCCACTACACGTTGTTCAGAGGCTTCCCTGTAAATTTTCTTGGTCCCCCAGTTCCGTCTCCAAAGAGGGCGCCATTCCTCCCAGTCAACTACTGCCAGACCGTGGAAGCTATGATTCAAGAGTTCTCTAATTTCTTTTGAAGCTCTTTGAAGGTGTTCATTCAGACGGACATTCTGGGGTATCCCCCCATTGTGCCATTCTCCTTCTGGGGTGATGTAAGGATAGAGTCCAAACTGGTTTTTGTAAAAAATGGTCATGTTCTGGCCCTGAAACAGATTGCCTTTGTTCTCCACAATGCCGTAGACACCAAGAGGTAGAGTAATCCCAAAACGTTCTTCACATCTAGTTGTGGGCAAGTTCCACACCACAACAAATGGTTCCTGATGGACAATGGGTCTGGCAGTTGTCCACTCCCAGCTGTGCCCTCTCAGATGTTGAGTGGAACCCAGGTAGAAGGAGAGACAGATCCAGATGGCTGTGCCCAGAATCATGGTGGATATAAGAAGCCAATGTCTCTTCTGGAGCTCTTACTGCTTTGTTTACAACTGCATTCCCTATTGCAGAGAAAGAAAAGATCAAACTGGGTAAGATTTCTTCCCTGTCCCAACAATTAGACTGCCACCAATTACAGGGGGAATGTACAGTGTGGTGGTTACACAGTCTACCTAGGGCGGAGCACAGATCTGAGTCCAAATCCCCTTATTCTGGATAACCACCTTGATGCACTAAGAAAAACACTGTGATCTTGAAGGCATTCTATCCATTGATCACTAGGTGAATTTGGGCTTGTCTCTCAGCCTAACCTGTCTCAAAGGGTTGTGGTGGATATAAAATGAGGAGCAGATACTGTATTCGAGTTCTTTGAGGGAAGTAACTGTAACTAATTTGTTAGCTAAGTGAAACTAAAACAGCTGAAGCAAGTCACCATATAGACCCACAACAATTTTCAAGCTGCAGCTTTAACTTGGAGATCAGAACTTAAGATGTGAGTCTAAAACCATATGGCTCACCTCACTAGAAATACAAACGACCTGCAGTCCTCAGTCTCACTTCCATACCCTCTGCAAGAGATTTAAGTCCGACTTTTGCAAGAGTGATCTGCCCCTCCCTCAGCTGCCTGCCGGCACGGGGTAGGGGAAAAGAGAGAGGGAGGGAGGGAGGCAGAGAGAGAAGATGGTGGCCCACACAGTGAGGCAGGAGCTAACAGAAAGAGAAACAGGTGCCCCCCATCTAGCACTTAGCACATGAAGGTGGCCATCTGGAAGTAAATGCCTTGGCTGCAGTTTTAAAGAAGGCAAACTCACGGATGGAACTTGTGGAGTAAGGAGCCGTCTGGTGGTGAGCTGCCTGCACGGACTGATGTGTAAAGTCAACACATTTGTCACCTCATTTGTCAGTAGAAGCTGCTCCCTGCCAGGTGTTTTTCCACAATGGAGACACACAAAACGCAGACCAGACTGTTTCCCTTTGCTGGTTTGGATGTGTTTGCTCTGTGTCTTTCCCCTTGGCATCATTTTTCCACTCCTGCTTTGCAAATTGAAGGGACTGCCAGCCAATAAAATTGCAAACTAGGCTTCTCTTCAGACAACTAGTAGCTGGCTCTGAAATGAGCATTTTGGGTCTCCCCAGAGGACTGCTGGCTGAAACTGCTTGAAAAGGGAAGCCAGCTAACAGATGGGGCACCCCAACTGTCCTACCCTGTCCAACCAATCTTAAATGCTGTGGGATCAGACATGTTAAGTCTACCTTGAAAACCCAACAGTTTGACATCAGTGTCATACATACATAAACCACTGACACCCTTTCTTCCTGCACTCTCAGGAATTTGAGCCACGTTTTATTGCCAATTGGACAATTCATTCACTGTCTGAGACAATTCTTTTCAGCACTCTTAATAGTGTGTCTAAATTTGCATTTCCCCCCAACCAGTAGGAAAGGTTCACTCAACGATCACCTCTATGCATTGTAATTATTTCCCGTTAGAGGGAAAGAAGGCAATAATTCTCTTAGCCTCTCTCTCACACCATATCCTTAGTCTCTGATTTTCATGTCTTCATGTCAAGGGGAGAGGATTCGACCCTTTGGAATGGACGGTGGTCAGACACCCCCGCAACCACCCTGGGGGGAGGAGAGTGATCCGATCTGGTCCCTCTTTCCAACAAAAGCCTTCGGAGGGGGATTGGGCCCGCCACCCATGCTGTGGAACAGTTTGTGCGGTGCGGAGTGCCCCCCTGAGGCCTTTGATCGATCAGGAATGTTTTGGCCCAGCTCCCTTCTGAAAGAAGATGGACTGTTACCAAATGTTAAAGTAAAGAAATACAAAGTGTTGCCAGAAATAAGTTTATTGGATCCGTTCGATTCTGTTGAACTGAGTGCGGTTAAGAATAAAGAAGTTATTGTTGAAAATTCCGATCAGCCTCCGACTCTTTTTCCCGCCTTTACCACCAGCGCGCCTCCGGCCAGAGAAGAATCCCGTTACAGATATGAAGAAAGAAAATTTGATATCCGTTCAGATGAAACCCAGCTTGTTGTCTCTAGAATTTTATTTATTAGACTTAAATTCCACCTTTGCTTCAAACAATTGGATTCAAGGCCGACTCAGTTTCTCTTTCAAGGAGTATGTGGCATTGTTTGCTTCATCTCTGTTTATACGTCCCATCTAGAAACTATACTAGGCAGCCAAGTATCTACCAATATGATTAAAGAACTATTCTGCTAGTACAGATAAGGGCCACAGTGGTCAAGCTGTGGTAATATTTTTCTTCCAGGACAGAAGTAGATCAAGAGATCCATACTGTCACTCTGCGGCCACCTTCATATCTCTGGCTCAGGATGCTCCGCCGTGCTTCACTGTGACCCAAGTCTTCTAGTAGGTCCTGCTTGGTTGTCTCATATCTGTGTTACAAATCATTTGGTTGCATTCTCCATATCTTTCCCCATCCATAGTTCTTAAAAAGTATCTCCAAAGATAAACACTTCAATGGATTCTGAAAGCAAATATATGCATCTAGCAGTCTTGGTACTCCTGGCAATTGTGAGGTTAATTTTAGATATACTGTAGCATCCTGCCCAATCCCTTCTGCCCAGCCACATAGGAAACTGGTACACAGAGTAATCAGCCCAGCACAAATAAATGGCTAACAAAAATATACTGGGCACTGGACCTATCCAGATAGGAAGTTGGAGCAGTTTGGTTCACAGTTTGAAAGTTCCTATCTTCAATATGCTCTCTTTATCCTTTGAGAGGTCCTTCAATTCACACTGGAGATGCTTTTTCTCCTGTGAGAAGGGTCCATAGAAGTCCTTGGATGGCCAGTTTACTCATGAGTAAGGTTTACCACATTTCCTTGTGAGTAAAGGGGAAGTTGATCATGTCAATAATTTTAAACCACAAATGATCAGACTTGATTCCTACATGTTACTTGAAAGTAAGGGAAAGAGTAACAGAGAGAAGGGGAAGGCAGTGATTCCTATTATGGAGTCATTCTGACATGTGAATTATTATGCATTTTGCAAAATTACTGTTCAAACTTTTGATGCACTGTACTCTCAGACTGTGAAGTACCTTTCCATGTCATCTTTCTATAGAAAAGTTTGTGAGAAATGTTGTAGTCTGAAACTTTTAATGAGAAAGCGGCTTCACAGCAAATCATAAAAGTATTAGCAGAGGCAGGACCAGAGGAAGCAAGGAAAGAAAGGGGGCAGTGGGCTGTAATGTGACTCACACTACATCCAGTATGAACTGTGAACTCCTGAATCAATCCCCAGCCTCAGTGTGAGCAGTGACTGTGATTTCGAATGTAATACAGGCTGTGAATCAAACTGCAGCATTTTGACTTTCCATTGTAGTCAACACCCTTACTGTAAGAGGAAAAGAAAAAGTTACAGTATTACTGTATAAAATGAGCAGTATCTCGTGTTTTTAAACTGTAAACTCTCACACATATTATTCAGAGAATTGCCATACATTTCCATATAACGTAGACTTGTCCATGATAGCTCCCATTAAAAACATGGAAGTTAGTCTATAAGATGCCACATTTTCATCTGTTTTTTTTTCTTTTAATTTATTATTTTCCTCTATAATTTCCCCTTGAAAATCTGTTTAGAGAGGACTTTCACACTGGAAAGGCTGAAATTTATTAGAGATTGTAGAGACTCATCCGGTCATTTCAATTTCCACAACAGAGCTTCAGCAATCCACACAGAGGAAAACATCTCTCTGTCATCCCCAGGAAATGACCAAAGGAAAGTCAGCTGGCAAGGGCTCACTTTATTGTCATATTCCCCCCTACAACCCTGTTGTGTAGAGAAGTTTCAAGCACTCACTGCAAAGTGGAGTAAATTACACTGGAAGGCTTGCAGTCACTACAGTAGAGAATGTCTGGGAACGCAAAGTGCATTGATTGTTTTACAATGGGACTAAGTACTAATTTCATCCCTGTCAAGGGCCACCTTCTCACATGCCAAACTGTGGCCACACACTATTGGTAGACAGCACTACAACTTGATGTAAGGGTCTCCCCCTTCTTCTCTCCCCCCACCGTCTCTCTACTTAATGGAGGGTTGGGAAAGGGACAAGTCACTCTTGTGGAAGCCTGAATTCATCTGGAGCAGGGACTTCAGCTATTAGACTTAGGGCCACATGAGCACAGCTAATGGCAAGCTATGAACACTTGCCCTCCATGGGAAAGGGACAAGTCACTCTTGTGGAAGCCGGAATTCATTTGGAGCAGGGACGTCAGCTATTAGACTTAGGGCCACCTGAGCACAGCTAATGGCAAGCTATGAGCCTTGAGCCACCACTTGCCCTCCATATTCTACCTGCAAGCCTGCCTTAACCAGAGACTTCCAAAGTGAGGAAACTGCTTCTGGCCAGAAGAGATTTCCAAGGAATTTGTGTGATAACTAAATTACATTTGGGAGGAACAGGAGGAAAAAAACACATGCAGGTACTGCTAGTGAGGGACCAATTTTCAAGGTCGTGTCGATGGTTTGGGCTGAATTTTCAAGGTCAAGGCAAACCAGAAGGGCTGACAATGGGCCAGAATCTAGTTTTCTCTGCAGCTGCCAGAGCTGAGGTTGCAAGTCAGCAAAAATCCCAGCAGAGCTGTTTCTGTAGTTAGAATTGCTTTCCAATACAATTCATCAGCCTTCTTCATCTGATGTCCACTCAGATGTTTTCAACCACAACTCCCATAACCCCCCAGGAGGGAATGCTACAAGCCAATCATTGCTACTGCCTCTTCCATGCCATACAGGAAAGCTGTACGTATGTTGCACCTACAATTGGTTTTGTTTGAAGTGAGTCGAACAGCACTTATTCACAGTGAATTTTAAATTAAAGTAATACAGGCTCCATAGCAAGTTCAGTCATGGAAGCGACAAGGCATGCCGATTTGCCTGTGCAATACCATTCATAAGCCTTCTGGGATGAGACTGCAGGAGGCAACAGCCGGTACAGTTTGGACCTTCTTCTCAATGAATGGAAACCTCAGCACCCAACATACCAGGAATTGTTCAATATCAGAAATGAAAGCATGCATGCCTGTTATTTGGAAACGGACATCTACAGTAAGTTGCAAAGTATTTCCACAGCACTACTGTTTCTAAAGGGAGAGAGGCAATTCTGAGTAGATTTGAGCTCTGAAGCTGGGGAAAAGGGCAGAAAAGTTTAGAACATTTGAAGTCCAGTGTCCATTCTGCACAGATTAAGTTCCAAGTGCCATTAGGATGTGTTGTATTTGTTCTATTACTAAATGGAATTCATTTTATATTTTTAAACACAGGACATAGGGTAGAAAGGGGATTTGCTTTCTGCAGACACACTGCAGGTGTGGGCATATCAGGGCCATTTTATACATTAGCTTTAAGATACAGTATGCCTCTTAATTTTTTTCATATGCTTGTAAAAATGTATTATCTGAACATGACCAACCACAGTGGAAAGATAATGGCGTTCAGTGTCTAGCTGCGCTGGCCATGTAACCACGGAAGATTATCTTCAGACAAACGCTAGCTCTATGGTTTGGAAACAGAGATGAGCACCACCCCCTAATGTTGTACACGACTGGACAAATTTTACCTCTACCTATCAGGAAAGTAAAATTGGCTATGCCTTATTGCAAAAGTGTATACTCTGTGGGGTCCAGGGAATTGACGCCATACTGGTATAGCTCAATAGACTGGACCACTCAATTGTAGAGCTGGGCCAGAGGTTCACGTCCCTACTGCGTCTCATGAAAGGAGAGCAGCCAAGACCGCCTGTAATACATGGCATTGATGATGTTACATGTCCCACTATCTGTGAATACTGCCAGGAGAGACTGGTGCACCACTTCTGAGTACTTTACGCTCAGAAAACCTTGGAAGGGTTACCATATGTCAGCATCAGTTTGAGGGCATACAATTATTGAAAGTCAACATTGTGTGGTGGATAGAATGTCAGACCTGGGTTCAAATTTTGCCTCTGCCATGAAAACTCTCTGCAAGGTGGCAAAGGAAACTATTCCTTGAACGTGTCACATATGTTGACAACCTGTAGGGTCACAATACATTGGCAGTAACTTGACTGTACTGTACATAACAAAATGGTAATGTGCAAAACCACCTTACAGATGGGGTGATAATTTATTGAGATAAAATGAAACCATGGGCACACGAATAAATAGCTACAGAACAGATTGTCGAGCAGGTCATTTTCAAAGCAAAAACAAACCAAAAAAAGGAATAGGGGCTTTGATTTCTCACAAGCCACTTTCTTTAACCTCTAGTGTCCACCAAGTCTAATTCCAAAATAAGCACAGTATATTCATTGCCTACAAGACCTGTTTCCCCTTTAACCTGGATAACCTATCCTGTAGTTCCAACTTGCAGAGACTAGTAATGGTTTTTCATGAAGCATGAGGAGCTGCGCACAGTCAAAGACACTGTGCCTCTGTACTGGACCAGTTCTCAACTGTGATATGCACTTTGCATGTTAAAGGCCAGAGATATGGCAGTCAAAGTAGCCTAGGGAGCTTGCCTTGCCCTCCAATCAAGCTCTGAAAAGGATTGTTTTTAAAAATGTGGGTTGACAATCAGAAGAGGTCTTCTATTACAGCAATCCTTTGGAAACAGACATCCTAGAGTAGTTTCAGAGGCAAATTGTAGGGAATTCAAATCAGAATTAGATACATTTAAGTATGTAAGTGTACCATTATTCCATCAAAACACACCTCTTCCCAATTCTACCTGTCTGATGGGCAATTGATAGCTATATATAAAAAGGGGAAAGTCTATGGAAATTCAACGGTATTTAGTTTTCCATATGTAGCTGCATCAAAACTGACAGCTCTTTATGTGTCAAATTCAACGGTATTTAGTTTTCCATATGTATCTGCATCAAAACCGACAGCTCTCTCTGTATGTGTCTTGAAATCAGACATAAACAAATTGGTTTATGACATGCAGACCAGTACAGTCCCACTACATTTGCAGTGGCAACAATCAGTGGAATACAATAGGAAACTGGAAGTAACCCTCCAAGTGCATTCAAGATTAACAAGTCATTGTTTTAGCATCTTGGTGGCTGGTAAATCAGTCTTAGCATCTTATGGCATCAAAATAGGTTCTTCTCCAAAAAGCAGTCTGATATAATAGAACTGTTTGCAGAGCAAATCTTGCTGGCTTATTCATGCTATAATGAATCACAAAGCTGGATTTTCCTTTTTCCCACTTCTGATTCCCACTTCTTCTTCAACCTGCTGGCACACAGTTTAAAACAGTTATATAGCCTTCTCCATCCAGAACACGGGTTGCCCTTTCAGATCACGATATGGTGTTTCTAGGAATGTTTGTCCTTGTGTTTTGTTCTCTGATGGACCAGAAGAGGTAGCTTTACATGGATCTGGCTGTGCTGGTGAAAGGCCGGATGATAGAGGCACTGGGGGTGGGGGAGGAGGAGGAGGGGGAGGGATGGCATGAGTGCAATCAGAGTGAGGCATGGGTTGGACAGAAGCATTAATGGGCTGGGAAAAGGAACGATGGGAAGGAGAAGCAGGAGGCAATGGAGAGGGTGGGGGAGGAGGACATCTTGAGTAAACAAAAGAGGAGGGAGAGCAGTGATGTGGTAATGGAGGAAAAGCTGTTCCAGATCTGCTACTGTAAAATGACATTGTCTTAAGTGCCTCAGATCCTGCAGATTCTCCTCTCTCATGCTGAGGAGGAGAGAAGCTCTCCAGAAAGTCCATCGGCACAAGTGAACTCACGAATCCTGCACACTGAACAGGCTTGGACAAGGTGTAACCCAGGTGGGCATAAAAATGCTGCTTGTCGTGTGTGGTAAGGTGCAGGTGCTGATAGCCCCGGGATTTCGCATAATTCTCCACAGCTTCCATCAGCTTCCTGCCATAACCCTTTCCACGAAGGGCTTTGGCAACAACCACCGTCTCCACAAATAAGCTCTTTGGCTGGCCCACCACCCGGGAGAGTCTGGCATGCCCCAGGAGCTGGGCTTGGCTCTCAGTCATCTTGCCCTCAGCCATTTCTTCCCCTGGCCTTTGAGTTCTTATCAGCACCAGGCACATGGGGAAGTTGTCGGCGGATCTTTGGAGGGAGTGCATGCGGGACGTCCTGCTCCTTTTCCACTCTTCATTGATGAGGTCAGCACAGGCTTCCAGGAGATCAGGCCTCTGGTGGAGGGGGACCACTGTGAGTACCTCAGAAACCGAGCCCATTCTTCTCACTATACCAACAGGATCAAGCAATGAAACTTTACATGTGACTCAAAAAACCTGGCAGACCTCTGAAAGCAGAAACAGTGAAGCATGCTCACAACGTACCATAGGTTTTATGTCACATGACAGGGAAACCTATGCTGTTCCTTACCTTGGCGGGATTAAAATAAATGGGGGAAACCACAGCATCCTCTATAATCCACTCAGTATACAAAACAAAGGACAAAAACACACATGACAGTAAAAGCAGACAGGAATAAATCCAGAATATGCTGATAATGGAAGATGCCAAGGCACTTTGCTTTCCCAGCCTTTGTAGCATTTTAGTCTTATTCTCCTTAGGATTTAACTGTAGTGCATCTCAGCGCCCTTGCCTCCTACAGCCTCTTCCTGCCCAGTACCCTGCAGATATGTTGGATTACAACTTCCATCATCTCACTTCCCAGCATGGTTCATGTTGGACAAGGCTGGGCTTCTCATTATGACCCCTCAGAATCTTTGTGGACTACAAAGCAATTCTTTCAAATTGCTTCTCCCACCCTGTATTAACTCAGATTAAATTACCATGTGATGACCGACTTTCCAGGAGAGGTCTTAACTGTACCAAAGTAAAAGCACACCGTTTTGAGTAACCCACATATTGCCCATGGTCATATAAGCACAGCTTGGCTTAAGGCAAAGCTCATCGCATGCCCATCAAAAATATTCTTGTGAGAAAAATGTTTAGATAAAGTGCCAAAAGTTTCTGCATTCCAATCTATCACCATAAAAAGTTACTTATGTTTTTAAAGGTGTATATTTTATGCCCCATGTCTATGACAGCCATCCAGATGCCTAGCTAACATGACTGTGGACCAAAAACAACGTGCCAATCAATGTTCCCTCTCATTGTTATCCCCACTGTATGGGAACCTCACCCATCTGCGTACAGGAAGGGGAATTCATCTGAAACCCAGAAGTAAACAGGCACTGACTTGAGCTGCCGCTGTGTAGTGCAGATGGAACTCTGTGCGCCCCCATGAGCGTGTACCTTAGAGGGAACATTGGTGTCAATCCATATGAGTGGAGCAATCCACTCTAGATGAACATCCAAGACCAGTTTGGTCCCTTTACCTCCTTGCAACTGCCCTGGTGGGGTCCTGTTCCAAGCCAAAAATTCAATGAGAAAAACCTTAAAGATGCTTCAATCTGACAAGGGCAGCGGATGGCCTCATCATTGATATACCTCTTCTGCTCTGCAAGAGTTGCTGGCTAAACACAGCTTGTTATTACATCATCCCTTCATGTCTGCTACTTTACTGATCACTCAGCCAAACATTTGGTTAGATTACATGTGAAGCAATAAAATGCTAGAACTCTGCACATCAGTTCACTGTCAACACAAGCATGCCTATGCATACGTGCACAGAACCTTACTCAGGAACATCAAGAACAAGTACATCTTTGTCATCTCAGGAGCAATCCCTAAGAACCACCTGACATGGACATTTTTGGCTGATTTGAGCTCCTTATGTGGAAACTGGCTTTGGGATCATTGAACCTCTCTCCAAATCGCAACACATCCCTTCTTCAAAAATCTCCCAGAAGCCGTCTCACATATGGATGTAGCAAACTGTAAGTAGGCTGTGTGTTGAAACACTTCCATAACCAGTCCAGTGAATCACAAACAGAACACCAATGGCTTCAAGAATTAGCCCACATGGAAAGTTCACACGTATACTGATGAGTCACAAAGTCGAACCCTTGGTTGTAGCATGATTTTACTGGGAGGAGGAAGAGGCACTCCTGAGTGGAAGGCTTGGGAAGGCCCCAAAGTGACTGCCTGCATGCCTAGCCCCAGCTGGATCCTCCTTCGTATCTAGCCATGTCATTTCTGATATGATTTGGAAGAGAGAGCTGCGGGTGGGAGTCACACACATTCAAATGACAGCGTGAGAGAAGGAAGGCTTCTACAGGTCAAACACAGTTTTCTTTCCTTCTAACCCCAAGTCCTGAACATGCACTTTTTCGGACTATCGTTTCTATGGTTCTGGGAAATGGTAGCCCAATACAGCAAGTTTCAAGCTGTGTTCTTTGTCTTTGAGGCTTTTCTCTATTATGGAATGGCTTGAGATGAATCTAAGAAGGCACGCACACACACACACACACCCTCCCCTTTGTTCACGCTTGTCTCTTTCCATCTCTCCCTCTTTATGATCTTCCTTTCACCAAGTGATGAGATTCCACATATTTCAGTCCCTTTCTAGGCTGGGGCATAGGACAGGGCCCCCACAGGAAGCCACACTGGCAGGTATAAAAAAGCCCGAGAAACGACAGTGAATAAAAATCCTCCCTCTCCCAGCCTTTCACACTGTCCAGGTTTAGCTGCCACAGGTAGCTTGTGAGATGATATGAAGCGGTTACTGCACTCTGGCCATAAATGAGGAACCCATCTCTTCCTTCAAAAAGCCTTTGATGGGCAGGGAGGCCTCTGCACAGCATGCTGGCAGCATGCCCAGAGGATTCTGGGCAGTACAATACAAAAAAAGAGAGGGGCATTTCCAAGCTGACTTTCTCACATGAGAGACATTGGTTGGTGGGAGGCAAACATTAGCTACTCCAGGGAGAGAGTACTGCAGGGTGTGTGCTCTAAGAGCGCCAGCATCACTCTTCACTTACTATGGAATTATCTTTCGGAGGCATTTCTTTCCCCCACAGGGCTGCGTTAGCACATCTACGCTGGAGCCCAGTCTCCTCGACCATCAGGATGACACAAGGGCCATCTATACCCTCCTTTGCACAACATTTCAACACCAGACGGCCTTCCCCTTTTTGGAACGGTCGGTCTTGCACTCCGAGGCCCACTCCCTTTACTAAAGGCTGCTATTACTGGTAAAGCCCATGTGTTTGTGGAAGGAAGTCTCAATGGGAGCTGTTGCCTCAATAAGGCATGAGCTACACGACATACTGTACTTCCTTCCCAACCCAGGCTGCTGCACCTACAGGCAAGCGTCACATCTCAAAAGTTTGGCCACCCACCAAGAAGAAGGTGTCTGTTTATCTTCCCCAAAAGACGAAGCCCTACTAGTAGCTGGTAGGAAGAAAATTGCCACAAGCAACAGTTTCAAAATGTTTTGACCACCCCTCAAAAATATTACTTGCTCCTACTAAGAAGTTCCCTGACTGCTGCACAAACACTACTGCAACGATGTTTACAACAGCCTCAAAGAGTAAGCAATGTTTTAATAGCCCTATGTTACATTTTGACCATCAAGAAAACTCTGAATTTGAGCAAATTGTGTCCTGCTTACAATCATCAGATGACTTTATCATGACTATGCAGGCTAGTATAAAATTAGTACTGAAAGGCTTTGATGTGCTGATGTTTATATTTTGCGGACTATCTGCAGCTTCTTATTATGGCAAACACACTGCATACAAAAAGTCCCAGTTTGCATTTCCTGGGTTTGCCCGTAAAGAATGCTGGCTGATACCCTGGAGAGCTGCTGCCAGTCACTGTAGAGCAGTGGTATCAACCTTGGTTAACCCAGGTATTGGGGTCCAACTCCTAGAAACCCCAGGTGGCAAAGCTAGTGGTGAAAGCTTCAGGAATTGCAATCCAAGAACATCTGGGTCACTGTTGTAGAGAATACCGGGCCAGACGGACCAACAGTCTGACCTAAGTACAGTAGAAGTCAGCTCCTTTTATTCATCTATGTTGTCCTCACTGTTGCTGTAGGTAATCATGCAACTTCCAAGACACTTTGGCCACAATCTCTTGCAGAAATGCAGTGTGCAAATGAACTAATGGAGGATGGTTGGGATGGGATTTTAATTGAGAATTTGGGGCAGTCACACCACCCACTTTTAACCACATACCATATAAGCTCCTCTAGGGTCTCTCTCTCTCTCTCTCTCTCTCTCCCTCTCTCTCTCTCTCTCACACACACACACACACACACACACATCAAAAAAGCACTTTTGAGTTACAGAAGCTGTTATTAAAAGGGGGTATTATGTAGAAGGGAAACAGCACATACTAATGTGCAAACGGCAGCACAGCGCTCACACGGACGCGCTGGAGTGTGCACGTGTGTGTAGATCAGTTGTGCAGGGATGAGTGCGTGCAAGGGATGGGGCGGGAGGTCTGTCTCCACAGCCTGGTCCGGCTCAGGCCAGGGGGGCACCGGGGGTTGGGGACCTCTGCTCTATAAGATTCCCTCACAGAGTGAATGAGAAACAGAATACAGTGGTGCCTCGCTTCGCGATCACTCCATTGAGTGATGAAATCGCTTTGTGATGGACTTTCAGCCATCGCTGGAGCGATTGCTTAGCGATGGCCTCTATGGCTAAAATTCGCTTTGCGATGATCACGGGAAAGCGATAATGGCAAAGCGCATTTTTTAAAACAGCTGATCGGCGGTTCCAAAATGGCCACTGCTGTTTTGCCTCGCTTTGGAGGCACCCAAAATGGCCACCGCTATGGAAGAATTTCGCTTTAAGGCAAGTTTTTAGCCCATAGGAACGTATTAAATGTGTTTTAATACGTTCCTATGGGCTTTTTAATATCGCTTAGCGATTAAGTCACTTAATTTTTTTCCGGAACGGATTAACATCGCTAAGTGAGGCACCACTGTATAGTGTACACAAATCAAACCTGCAGCATCACATTTTTTTTCAGAAAAAAGGAACACAGGACAATAATAAAATAAGTCTCATTCCATTGTTAAGTGCCCTTCTGACTTAAAATGACCCTAATAGGGTTCTCAGGGTCTGTGAGATGTTCAAAGAATGGTTTGCCATTATCACCATCCAATGAACTTCCAGAGTCAATCAGAGATTTGAACCCATATCTCCTGATTTCTAGCCCATCACTCTATCCACTACACCCTGCTGGCTCTCAAGCAGACTGACAGTCCTTCCTATTTAATGGCATTATAAGTCACAACACAAAGGTGACAGTCCTACTTCAAATAGTCTTTCTCATAGAAATTAAATAAACCTTCATATTCAAGGCCAGATTACACTTGGCCTCTTATTTCAGATGACTCATTGTCAGAAATTCTGATCATCACTGCAACATACCCATCCAACAACACCACACAAGATGTCACATCTTGGTTCCTTTCCGCTCCTTATCATCCTGCTGCCACCAGCTTGATGTTGCTAACGCTGCCTCTTTTTCCCTATTTACCAAGCGAGTATGGGGACTCCCTCTTCACCTCCTGCTTAAAAACAACACAAAACAACAACAAAACACTCTGCCATGGCCCTGAGAGGAAGAAGAGCTTAAAAGATGACCAGTCATCCACCCCTCCTAGAACAATGTGAGAGAGGAATCTTGCCACACCAGTGGGGTGAAGATTCACAGGCTTATGCACCCTAACATCCCCATCCTTCAATTCCTACCCTTCCAGAATAAACCAAACAAATGTGACAGTGGAACCCATAGATAGCCTGAATGCCAACTTCCAAACTCCTAGACAAGCTCCAAATCCCTCTCGGTTCTTACCTTTTCCAGCAGGCAGAATCTGCTTGTAGGAGGATACTCCTACTATAAGCTCGTAAGAAAGAGGGGCTGATCACCTGCAATGAATGGGAGCTGCCTGCAGGACTGCTTCCCTCTTCTGGAGCTTCTGCTGGCAAAGTGAGGCCTCAGAGAAACTGTTCAGCTGCTTTCACAAGAACAGGAACAGGAAAAACTACACAGGCTCCCTCAGCTCATTTCTTCTTTTAAAGAGAGAACTGCATGTTTATTTGAATTACGGGGAAGGAGGAGGAAAGCCCCAATACCAGAAAGTAAACTGAGTTTTGAACAACCCAGCCCTTGCACCAGCTAAAGACTGACATTGTTCCCAAAAACAACAACATCAAGCAGTGGTCAGGCTCTCAAATTGAAGACTTCCACCACCCTAGCTGACAAGTCCACATACAGATATCAGCATTAAGGAACATAGTTTCCGGGGTGGGTGGGAGCTGGTTTAGGTTGTCAAAATCTAGTCTGGAATAAACTATTGTCCACTTCATTTTGCCCATATGCAGTCCTGTGGTGACCAGAGAGGGCAAGCAACAGCATCAACAAGCACAGAGCAGCCCCAAAAGTAGGGCAGACAGTCGAGACAAAGTAGACTGACTGCTCCCCGGCTCCTTTCCAGCACTTCCATTTTCATGTCAGCCATGTTGTCATAAATGAGGTTGAAGACACAAGCCTCGGGACCCATTTTAGTCCTCTCTTAATCTGCAATTTATTTAATCTTAATGCAAGCCTGCCCCCAACTCCTGCCAGAAGTTGTCAGTAAAACATTATATCCATAACAAAGGCACAACTATTGGCAAGAGACAAAGAGGGTGTTATAGGCCACATATGGCCCACGCACTATCCTCTGTGAATGTAAGACACAATCAATTGTGGAGAGAGCTACACAGTCCAATTCTGCTGACACTGGGAGGACAGGGAATCCAGTGGACAGAACTCGGATGTTGCTCTGAAGCCGCTCATCATGCCAGGAAAGCTGATGTTTACAAACTCTTCGAGCACAGAGACCTGTTTTTTGGTTGCTGCCTGTTCTACCACCCAGTGTCAATACATGGAGGAACAAAACTGTGCCAACAGGTAATTTGGGAATACACCTGCTACTAGCAAACAGCCCCAAGCAAAAGGTCACAAGACTCATGGAAACTGAGGACAAGAGAACGCAGATAGGTCGTCCCCAGGGCAGTGTTTCCTACCACCATTATGTGCCCGATACAGCTTTTCCTACTCTGAAGTTAAAAATACCAATTAGTCTGGGTTCCCTTCCGGACCCTGCCTTTTGAAATACAAAATTGTATTCATGCTGGGGATACAGAAAGCATTCATTTAACAAATGGAACTCTAAATAGTCTGAATTGCTATTTACTCATTGTCCGATGAGAAATACAAGGGGCACAATCCAGCAAAAATGAATCATGTAATTATATCCTGTGAACAGTAGAGGCATTTGTAGCATGAGCCTATGCCTATTTACCCAGAAGAGACATGTATTGAGTTCACTGAGACTTACCCCTAAATACAGATGTATACGATTGGAATTACAGAGGCGCATTGCTTAACGATTACCTCGTTAAACGATGAAACCGCTTGACGATGAGGTTTTTGCGATCGCAAAACGATGTTTTATGGGCAAAATATGCTTCCCGATGATCGGTTCCCTGCTTCGGGAACCGATTCTTCGCATTACGACGATCAAAACAACTGATCGTCGGGTTTCAAAATGGCCGCCCGCTGTGTAAAATGACTCCCCGCTGTGCTTTAGGACAGATTTTTCACAGCACAGGCATTGGAAAATGGCCGCCCTATGGAGGATCTTCGCTGGTCGCTGAGGTATTTAGCCCATTGGAACACATTGAGCGGTTTTCAATGGGCTTTTTTATTTCGCTTGACAAGGATTTTGCTCTACAGCGATTTCGCTGGAACGGATTATTCTCGTCAAGCGAGGCACCACTGTAGTTTCTGCTTTCAGCGAGGCTGAGTTATGACTATCATCCTGAAACTCCTGCAGAACTACAAAGCAAATTTTTCATTCTAATTGACCCTGTCATCACTACCACTTTGAAAAAGATTTATATTTGTATGTCAACAACTCTCTATGCTCTTGCATAAAATTAAATGGAGGAAAAGAGTGGCTCCCCTTTTGGGCCTCTTTAACAGATGGTGTAATTAGACATGTGTCACTTAAATGACAATGCCGAAATAATGGACAATCTGAGTAAACTACAGATTAGTATCTCAGATTAAGGCAGGCCTTAAAAATATATATCGGCCAACATGAACCAGAAGGGAAATCATGTCAATGTCCTCCTTGCTCTGGCAGAAACTGTGGCACACACCCTTTTTTTCACTGGCTGAGAGACAGGTCATGCAACTGGTAATGCGATAAGAAGCCTGACAGAGCTGGGGGGGGGCAGGAAAAACATTTCTACCCTTCCACTCCACATTTAGGCAACAGAATGCAGGCTTCAGTGTCACTTTTTTTAATGCTATGGAGCCTCTTAAACCCAATCTATGTAAGGACCTCAGCAAGCTTCAATCCAGCCTTATATCCTGAAACACAATTTTATGTTCATGTTACCACTCAACAACAAGGAACAATTATGCTTCTATGCAGGGACCACTGATGAGTCATTACTGCACATCTTGTATTTAACGTCCCTCATCTGAGTAGCTAGCATTTCATATGCACTTCATGCGAGGCAGCAGACAGTGGAAGAACATACTTGGCTCTTCACAACAGTGAAATGATTCACAGTTTGGTATCTGCACCTGTTATGTGCACTTGTGTGGTTTCAGGTTCTCCTCAGAGATGGCTTGTCTCTCTTGCCCCATCAGAGCCTGCCAACCAAAACAGCTGAACAGTCAGGCAGCACAAACTACTGTCTAGACCAGGTGAACTCAACCTCTGTCCTTTCACGATGTTTTGGGCTTCAGCTCCCAGAAGCTCCAGCAGACACAACCAAAATCAGCCATTCTGGGTACTGAAAGCCAAAGCATCTAGAATGCCAAAGGTGGAAAACCACTGCTCTAGGCCACCCTTCCCTAGCTTGGTGCCTTCTAGATGTCCCAGAATACAAAGACAACAGATTGAAAAATAGTCTACTACCAACAATAGGGCTGGTAAAGTAATCTTGGCTAAATTTATCATTTCCAAAGGAAACCCTATGAAAATATTTTCAGCCACAGGAAAGGAAGTAACCCAAACAGGACTCTGTTTGAATGGCAAATGGATACCTGTGCTTCTCACATCTCATTCCTTTCACATAAGCGCTCAGCTTCCTTAAAGACCACAGCCGACACCAACTGTTCATATGTTTTTAAATGTACATCTCACCTCCAGTGAGTTTTCATGAGAAGTCATCTATACGATATGAACAGTGGTGCCTCGCTTAACGATGACGATCCATTCCAGGAAAATCGCTGTTAAGTGAAAACATCGTAAAGCGAAATTTAAAAACCCACTGAAAAGCACTGAAAACCATTCAATGCGTTCCAATGGGCTAAAAACTCACCATCCAGCGAAGATCCTCCATACGGCGGCCATTTTCGGTGCCTGAATAGCGAGGAATCCATCCCTAAGCACAGCGGGGAGCCATTTTAAGCACCCGGTGGTCATTTTAAAACCCCGACGATCAGCTGTTTTTGATCGTCGTAAAGTGAAAATCTGTTCACGAAGCATCATCGCTAAGTGAAATTCCCCCATTTAGACCACCTTTTTGTGTCGTAAAGTGGATTTGTTTGAAATTCCCCCATTTAGACCATCGTTGTGTCGTAAAGCGGATTTGTCGTAATGAGGGGTAATCGTTAAGCGGGGCACAACTGAATTTGAATATGTATACAGCCCAATACCAGTCCGCGCTTAATCAGAAGTAAGCTTAATTAGAACCTGATCCCAAGGGCAAGTGTGTATATAACTGCCACCTCAGTACTGTCACAAATGAGCCCTCAATATCTTCTCAGATCAATGGACAAATTGTATGCCACCTACTCAAATAAAACAGGAAGCAGGGATGGGTACCAGGGATGTTGGCAATCTTTGGGTCCAAGTCCCAAGCCCCGAGTGTGAGTCTCTATTAAAAACAAGCTTTTTTTCCCACCAGAAAAAAAGGGAGGGGTGAGTGGGTTCTGAGTCATGAGTGTGACTGAAGTCTGGACTTGACAGCGAGTCCCACAACTCGAGTCCCCATCCCTGATGGTTACTGAGGATCAATGACTGTGGCTAAACAGCAAAATCACTTCTCCCTATGGATGCAAAATGAGGCATTACAGAGTATCCCACTCTTTCCAGACATTTGGTTGAGAAGAGTAGAGACTGATTATATACGCCAGAATCCTGTTGGCAGGAAAGAAAACAAAAAAACAAAAAACAGGGCAACAGCAATCATACAAACGGTCACCCCCCCGTCCCCTTGGGAGGGAGGGCTGTCCACCACAAGACTGGCAGCATGATCAGCAGGCTACCAAAGAGGGCAACCATTTGCGTGACTGCTGTTGTGCACGTGTTTTTCCCCCCAAAAGATTCTGGCCATAAGCTTTATTTCTCTCATTCTCTCCCCCCTGCTCAATATGTATATATTATCAGAAGAGATTCATGAAGTTCTTCAAGATTGAGATCTCACGTTAGTTAAAAATGTTAATGCATCATGCAGTCATTCTGTCTCTTTTCCCCCATAGTAGATTTTCTCTGTTAGAAAAAAATGGAAGAAATAGAAAGCACAGCAAGGTGGAAAAGGGAAGGCAATGTTGGCTACATTCTCCCCAAATGCTGAATAGGCCCTTCCCAGGTCAGAATCAGTAAAGCAGTCTAGATGCCTCCTATGATTTACCCCATTCAGCTGCTGCAAATAGTTGTTGGCATACCTGGGGGGCATGAAATGCCCCACCTCATGTGCTGGAATATTCTGTTTCAGGTCCATGGAGAAGCGACCTGTGATCTTTGAGGGGGGTTGGCCCAAGGACTGCACTCATGAGACTAAAGATTTGAGCATCTCTCCTGACTCCCCTATCTGCAGAGCAGATTTTTTTTAAAAAAAATAAATGATTTAAAAAAATCAAATTGATTTAAATAACAATTTAATTAAAAATCGATTAAATTTAAAAACCCAATTTTTTAAACTTTAAATCGTGATTTTAAATCAAATCCACCCCATTTGCGTCCTCCAAGCAACTGCTTGCTCACTCCCTGCATCTCCTCTGCCCTCCTACCCAAGGTCTGCAGGGAGGGGGGTCTCCCCACAATCTCCGCCCCCCCCAAAGACACGGGTTGTCAGCAGATCGCCGGCTACAGGTCCACAGACGGTCGCCCTCCACTCCAACGTAGACTACAACGTCCAGAACTCCCCAAGCGGCGAAGACATCTGCTTAGGGGATTCTGGGATTTGGAGTCCCAACACGCGGAGCTCCACGCCTATACTCAAGAGGAATGTTTTCTCCCTTTAATTGCAGTGCGTTTTTAATCTTTGCCGAACCCCAGGATTACTAAAGGCTTCCCCGAGAGAGTAGTGCGGTCCCGCCCCACCCGGGAAACCACCCACGTCTGCAAAAATCTGGTTACTGGAACGCCCCCAAAAGCACCTCCCCGCCACCCTTCGCCTATGCAGAGAGAGAGAGAGAGACCCATATAGGGACACAACCTCCAGCTTCCCCTGCAAAAGAAGAAAGGGGTCACAAGGCAGCGTCCCTCCTTCCTTCCCTCCCACCTACACTCCCCCCCCCCAAAAAAAGAGGACCAGCCCTGGTCTTGCGCCCGCCAAAGCCATGCCAGCGGAGCCGCTAATTAAAAGGAAAAGAAGGGCTGATCGGTACTGACATGCTCCTGCCAACGGCCGGGACCTTCCGCCTTACACGCCGCCGCTGCCCGAGACTTTCCAGCACTTTGCGATCTGATTGGCTAACACGCGGGAATCGAGGAGGAGGAGAAGAGAGGAAGACGGGCGGCCAGCCTTTGGCTTCCTGAAAGCGACTGCGCCATCTAGCGGCGGCGAAACGTCCTCAAAGAATTTCGCTCTCTTCTCCTCCCAGGTATTTCAGCAACGTTTGGCTTCGCCGGTGGAGTTCCAACACGTTTTTGATCCCTCTTCCTTATGTTGCATCGCGAAAGGGGACGAAATGGCGTTTCAAAATTGTTACGGCCCCTGTCTAATTCATGTCCCGTGAGAAAAGAGAATAGGTCACACAGTTACCTCTCCTTTGTATTTTTTTTTAAATGCTAATCCACAGGGCTCTGTTGTCCCCGATTGTTCTGGGTTCTTCTGGTATTTTTCGTTGCACATTTGAATAGCTCATCCTAGTATTGGCAGCCACATGAGAGAAGAGCAGTTGTTCCTGGATTTTCTGGGTCATTTCCCCCAACAGACACCCAGAAGCGTTCTGATGTCTCACACCCAATACAGATTGTTATCCCCTTCTGCTTATCCTCTCTGCCCTCCCCTACTCCTTGCTCTAACCACCTATTTTTCTCAAACTTTTCCTATTCACTGTAATGCTTTCTAATTTTATTTCCCCTCCAAAAGGTTTAATTTTCACTTTTGATGCAAAAGTGGTATTTTTTTAAAAAAAAACACCACCAGCTGGCAGTGATGTAAAAAACCTGGAAAGCAAAGGGTTCTGTCCATTTTGCCTCTGTTGGTACTGGCTTCAGATTTGCATCACCAGGATGCAGTACCAGTTTCCCCGGTGAAAGAAGAGTTGAACAAATGTTCCTTATGGATGAGCCCAAAGAACTCACAAGAGGAGAAAATCTAAGATGTCAAGTTGGGATAATATATTATGTGCACTGACAGGGTGCCAAATTTGTATACAAGCAAAATGTAGATACATTTAAATTTTAGCAAACTGAAGAGATGTTATTATGAGGGATGTGAAGTGCATAGGTGTGGAATTAGGAAAGGAACTGAAGCAGAGACAGTGATAGTTCACTGCCTGAGTCCCCAAACATCAGAAACCACCAGGATGTTTGTAAACAATGGGCTGTGTAATAACAACACTGTTTTGCTTTCAGGGTGGGCAAGACGGGACACATCAGTTCTATTTAGCAAAATTCATTTATTCATTAAAGGTATTATACAATATTTATTATCACTGACATGAACAAAAGATTATTTTTCTTAACAATGTAAAAAGAGCACACTACTGTACATCTTTCAAGCCTTAAGTCTACTCACCTCTAGTTTTTAACAAATGTGCTGCATTTATCTACATTGTACAACAATAGCAGCTAGGAAACATCAGCCAGGATCCCTAGAGTGAGGGAAGGCTTTAATTTCCCATATTAGCAGCAAGGGAATAACAATTTCTGCATAAGGGTTCTAAGAGGGAAAAATCTTTAAAGACAAGGCCAGAATCCTATTGGCTATTTATTAATAATCACAAATACTGCAGAATACTTAAAACTATGCACGGACCTCACACTTAGTATGAAGCTACACCAGGCTTTGTGCCAGAAAATGATCAGAATTCTATGGGTTATCTATACAAGGGGGTTAGGAGACTGCTAGTTTTATGAGAAGTACTCTATATACAGCCTAATCAACAAAGAGACTATCAGTTCCCCAATCCCTTGAAACCCCCATAGATCTTAGCTACTCCCACCCATTTTCCTTTGCCTCAGCCTAAGAGGTATCATTCCAAAGAGCGACTTGCCAAGGCACAGCTGTGTGTTCTCAAATTTCTCTGAGGACTTGGTTTTTTTTTTTTTTTTTGCTATAGCCATCAAAATTCTTGTTGGTGGAATTCCTGGCAAATTATGGGAGCTATAGTGAAAAGTATCTGAAAGGTGTAGAGGGAATTCAAATTCTTGACTCTAGGTTCTATAGGTAAGCACTCGAGCCCACTTTGCTATTCCAGCACTCAGTTATGTTATTACTAATACTGTATTAATAATAATAATACTATTTGAGAGACAATGTAACCAGCCCATGCTAGGTATACATTCAGCAGAAGTGCTTCTGCAGTGTTTTGTAGAGGAGAAACAATATGGATGTGCCTCTGTTTGTGGAATATTTATCTGCAATAGCTTCTGACATAGTTACTACTGGATAGTAATCTTTGGTTTAATCACTAAAAGTACCAGTGCTTAAAATTACTACTTTGGTTTAATACTGCTTTCAGTAAAAAGCAGGCCTACAGTTATGTGTGTGTATAGCATGAAGTGAGGGTTAATCTGACCAATGGCGTGAGACCTACTATCAAAAGTTGCCAGAGAGTCATTTCCTGCTATGGCAGGTCAATCTCACAATATGACAATACGCTACCACACAAACACCCCCTGAAGCCAGCTAGGGGAGAATATTGCTCGATACATCCAAAATTATGTGCTGAGATATCAGTTTTATTCTACACTTCTTCAATGAAGACAGAACTAAAAGACATCTCAATTACTAGTGAAGTCTGAAAACAGATGCATGACTCATGCATGAAACATAAAATCTACAGCAGGTTTTAGGCAACTGTGGTCCTTCAGATGCTTTTGGTTACAATCCCCATCATCCCCAACTGTCACAACCAGTGGCAAGGGATCATGGAAGCTATGGTCCCGAAACATTTGGAGAACCACAGCTGTTCACCCTAGAGCTGCACATAAGACAGCTGGCACTCTAGGAATGTGCAAGTACATTGCAACAGCAGCCAAGAACACACACATCAAACAGTATATGAAATCATGTACACCATGGAAGACTGAGAATTTCTTGCACATTAAGTATGCATGTGCACACATGTGGGAAAGCATTGAGGGCACAGGCGGGCAACTTGTGGTTCTTCAGAGCCGCTGGACTACACCTCTCATGAGTCCTCACGGCTTACTATTCTGGCTAAGGATGATGGAAGTTGCAATCCAATAACATATTAAGGCACAAACATTGCCCCTCCCTGCTGTAGGACCCAATATAAAGGAGAGGAAGGTAAAGGGAAAGGTAAAGGTTCCCCTTGACAATTTGTCCAGTCGTGTCCGACTCTAGGGGGTGGTGCTCATCCCCATTTCCAAGCCATAGAGCCAGCGTTTGTCCAAAGACAATCAACCATGGTCACATGGCCAGTGTGACTTAGACACGGAACGCTGTTACCTTCCCACCGAAGTGGTCCCTATTTATCTACTTGCATTTGCATGCTTTCGAACCGCTAGGTTGGCAGGAGCTGGGACAAAGTGACGGGAGCTCACTCCGTTGCGTGGATTCGATCTTACGACTGCTTGGTCTTCTGACCCTGCAGCACAGGCATGCACACGCGCCACCACGTCCCTAAAGGAGAGGAACATCTGGCTAATAGAGGGTACAAGAAGATGCTCCACCTCCAACTTCCTCTGCAACATCCCACTCATGTTTTGCTAGCTTTCACAACTGACAAGGCAAGTGCTGGACAATGGGCATTTCCTGATAGAAAAAGAAGCGCATCACATGGTCCTCCCTCTGCACAGAAAATGTGAAGATGTATGTTAGGCAAAGGCAAGAGCAGATGCCAGATGAGTGAAGAAGCCTGAGAGTGGGGCCCTGACTCCCTGGCATCATCCTACCTGCCACAGATCCCATGGGGGCCATTTGGCCCCCAGGAGCAAAGCAAGACCACTGGCCTGGAGTTTAGCTTGGGTATCCCTTGTTTTGGGTTGACTTCTCACACTGCGAGCCTTCCCAGCCACTGTAACAGTGGCACTTGAATTCTTTGATCATCTGGACTAGATCCTCTTTCGACATCTTGCCCCTCACAATGAACTGTGGCTCCCCGGGATGCTTCCTAATGATGAAGCCAGCAGGACTGAGATGCAGGAAAGCGTCTGGGTGGGTGGCTTGCCTCACACAGCGCCCATTCTTGGAGCACAGAACCTGGCTACACAGCTTGGCACTGCTGGTCACGTTGATGACGTACGGACCCAGCAGAGTGTCCACGTACTTCTTCACATTGAGACAGGCTTCCTGAAGGGTGGAACAGGTCATTAAAGGAAAAGGTTAGCTTGGATGGATGAGGAAAAGCCACAATATGTTACAACAACCAGGCCCCTTTGCAACCCATCCACCCACACCCCCATTTTTAGATGAGGCAGACTGAGCATATGTTTTTTCCAACCCAAGCTAGATTGATTACGGCCAACTATAACTTCCCATTTTCAGGAAATAGAGCAGCCTCTCCATTAAAGAATGAGAAGCCCATCTGTGGCCTCGTAACATGTTTTGCAAGCCTGAGGCTCAGGTTATCTTATCAATATTTTTCATAACTATACATATCCACATGGCAACTACCGCTACATAAAAAGGGTGAAGAAGACAAAGAGCTGAAAAATCATTGGCTGAAGGTATGGCCGGGAGCCTAGGCCCAACTGTGAGCAGAGGCTAGGCCTCCTCTTCTCTTGGCTATGCAAAGCCAAGCAACTCCTCCTGATTCGGGTATTTCTACACAATTGCAGGATCCAATCCCAGCTTCTCAGTATATTAGACTGCATTATCTTTAATGCTCGCGTTATGTATTTTCTCTCTCTCCTTATCTCACCCCTTCTCCAGGAACCAAGAGTTAGACCACTTTTCTTAATTTATCTTCACAACAACCCTGTGAGGTTACAGTGAGATAAAAGATAGCAACTGGCTCAGGGCTACCCAGCAAACTTTTTCCCTTCATAGTACTTTGATAAAACAAGACGCCATGACAGAATTGTTCAAGGATAACTAGTTTTACATTGCTCATAGGTTGGCATAGTTTGCCACAGGTGCTAGGAAACCTGTTTAAAATAAGTTTTCTTAAATGAATTGATCAACCACATTGGTTAAGAGATTCAACTACAGTTGATTCATATGAATACTGTAAATGCATGCACATTTAGTCGGCCGGTCAGCCAGTTTCCTGCCTTATATCCACAAATGAGATTTAGGGTGTGTTATACTAAAATAATACAAATAGGATTAAAATATACTTTTCAATCAACAATTTATGAAGTGAGCTCTCAGTACCAGAGCTGGGATTTAAATATGAAACATCTGCTCTTCAGGCTGTTCTGGATGAAGCATTCATTCTCCAAAATGTACCTGGTCACATATTGATGATATCAGTATTTCTATGTCAATGACTGAACATTGGGCTTGTCTCGGTAAGAAAAGTGACAAGCAGTGACAAAATCCAAGGCTTCTCAAGGCCTTTTTTTCTCCTTCTGAAAGGCATGGTATATTTCTTTTCTTCTTTTGCTCTGAGGAGTGGAGCAATGGATTTTTTTTAAGAACTGCAAGATTTTCTCAGGAGAGAAGAGGCTCTGGAGAACTAAATTTTAAAACTGCAGTTTGGATGCTGGTTTCAGGAAGCCCAGCACTGATTCATGACTACCCGTCATGACAAACCAGAATAAAACAGGATGGAACTTTTCACCCATCTGGAAAAGCTCTTTTCTTAACACTTGGTTACACCACAACAACTCTCCACAACCCACCCTCCTCTTCTACATTTACTCACCTCCGAGTAACTGTAATTTGTACTTCCCCATAAGATCACCCCAGCAGCTCCTTGAGAAGCACTCTCGCCAATGGTGTGGACCAAGTCCTCCTGCAGGAAAAGTAGGAGTAAAAGGAATGAGAGCCCCCGAAATCTCCTCTTTGATATCTTAGTTTCAGGATCCATATCAGGGACTTTTAAGACACTATGGAGAGGAACAGCAGCGCTTTGAGAATCTTGGCAATAGGGCGGATTCTGTATTAAGCATCTGATTGTGGAAAAGTTTCTGTTTGGGAGCCAGAATAATAATTTTTTACATATTATGTTAGGAACCTGATTAAGGATGTCTACTCTACTGTTTTAATCAACACAGAGCTCATTATTTGTAACAATCTAAATAAAATGAGCTTTTACTCTTCCCCTCTCCCCAGTGGTGTTTTTTTTAAAAATGAGCCTTTATCCACACCTATCTTACAAAACTTCTGTGTGATTTGCCTCTAATACAGCACTGTCATTCTGACATAAGGTTGGGGAATGTCTGGCCTTTCAGAAGTTACTAAACTCCAATTCCCATCATTCTTATCCAAAAAAAGCAATGGTCTGCCTTGATAGGATGTAGTTCAGTCATATCTGGAGGTCTACATGTACCATGCCTCTGTTCTAACATTTTTACACTAGTAATTACTAACAAGACACTGCCAAGCTTCTTCCTCTTCAACTTGTTCAGAAACCACCCTCTCTCTCCTTCTCTCCCTGTCCCACACAATCTGGCTTTGAGTGCTCTACAGCCTGTTGCTCACCCGTTTCCCTTCAGCCACCTCCAAAAACTTCCACTCAAATAGTCATCCATGTTCTTGAGATCTTGCCGCTCTTTTTCCCTCTCAATTTAACCAATGGCTCCCTTGCTGTTTCCAACACCAGCTTAGAGTTATTAGGCCTTATAGTTAAAGGCTTTATTCTATTCGCTATTCAGCTGTGGGATCCGCTGCACGATTAGGGCTCATCATATGTTTCTTAGAGAGTTGACACTCCATCTGCACATAAATATGAAGCAGGATATGGGCCAAAGTCACCGGTCCCTTCACTTTCCCGCCCTCCTCCTGGATTTGTTCTTCCACTTGCTCCATCTTGAGTATAACCTCATCTAGTATTCTTACATATTAATAATAAAGGAATGACCTTTCCCTCTACTTCTGTCTTTTCACATATTATTAATAAAATAGCTTTTCCTCATTTCTCCTATGTTCCTTTCCCTCTTCTAACCCAAAATAAATGTTCTTCTGTAAAGGCTTTCTTGGATTTTCCTCCGTTCACCTGTTCTGTATGTATGTATGTATGTATGTATGTATGTATGTATGTATGTATGTATGTATGTATGTATAGGTAGGTAGGTAGGTAGGTAGGTAGGTAGGTAGGTAGGTAGGTAGGTAGGTAGGTAGGTAGGTAGGTAGGTAGGTAGGTAGGTAGGTAGGTAGGTAGGTAGGTAGGTAGGTAGGTAGGTAGGTAGGTAGGTAGGTAGGTAGGTAGGTAGGTAGGTAGGTAGGTAGGTAGGTAGGTATGCATGCATGCATGCATGCATGCATGTATGTATTTGTTTATTTGTTTATTTTCTGGGTTTTACCCCACCCATCTAGATTCAACGAATCTACTCTGGGCGGCTTACAGTCCGAATATAAAACTAAATTAAAACAAATAAACAATATCAAACATCATTTGATATTGTACTGTACTCTCTATTACTAGGCCAATCACTGCAACATCCCACCTACTGATCTTTTAACAAACTTTGTCTTCTCTCTTCACCATGGACTTGCTTTTGTTGTTCACAGACTTCAGTTGAAATGCCAGGGGCAGTGTTCATTCTGTTGTTTAAGGCGCATTCCTTATTACTGACACACAAAAATAATTATAATATTAAGAGTTTTAAATAAACTCTCCCACCCTGCAAGAAATCTCAGGAAACATAAATCATTTGAGATTTTCCTCCTGTAATACTCGTAACTTCTAAAATAAATAAGACAGTGATGTCAAATACAAAACCTAGATAGATCCAGCTTTGTTTTCTTAACAATGCCCTACATTTTGATTTTGAGAACCAAAAGGAAAAAGAAATGTAATCTAAATCAGAACATACAGCAATAGCTGAAATATCAAAGTTTTAAAACCAACCATTCTAGTTTTGCTTATTTGACAAAATATTGTTATTTGCACAGATATCATGGGATACTGTTATTTTTGAAACAAAGCTTAGAAAACAGTTGTCATGTTTGCCACCAATTAACTGCAGAATTATAATACAAGAGGCTCAATACTGACAGCACCCTGAAATTAGGACTCCAAGCACACAGAGAATTATGTTCCACTTAAGTCCTTTTTTTTAAAGTCACAAATTTCTGTTAACTACACATTGGAAAAATACTAACCAAATGTTTACACAGGGAAACTAGGAATAGCTTACCTGCGAGACAAAATCCTGAGTAAACTCATATACAATTGAAGCATAAGGCAAGACTGGGATTCTGCCATTTTTCGTCCGGTTCACTATCCTGAATGCTTCTTGAACTCGATGCCGGACAAACTTGAGGGTTTTGTTGAGGCATCTGAGTTCTTTTGGGAGGTAAATGCTGGGATAGAGAGCTTGGCTTTGGTTCCAGAGCCACTGCAGTCGCTCATTCCTCTCCTTCTCAATCTCTGGACATTCCCCTGTGTAATTGGCATGTTTGTAATCATAGTTATAGCAGCTGGGGAAGCCATAGAAGCCCCAGAAACCCCCAGGTCTCAGGGCTCCACCAAGGGCCAGAGTCTGCTGCATGAATGCCCGGCCACTTTGCTCAAATTCTACCTGGGCTTCGTGGGCCACTTTATCAGCAGGCCAGTCAGGGTGCTGCTCCTTAACCAGGTCTATTGATTTATTCTGGTAGATTTGCATGGAGTCCCAGTTCCGAATCCACAAGGGACGCCAGTTCTCCCAGTCGACAATGGCCAGTCCTTTGAAGGCTACATCTGTAATGGCTTCTTTAATGTCCTGTTGAACCTTCCAGAGATGATCTTTGAGACTGGCATTCTGGGGGAGTCCCCCATGGACTGGTGTTCCATCCTCGGTGTAGTATGGATAGTATCCCAGCCTATTGCTGTAAAAAAGAGTGATATCTCTCCCCATGAAGGCTTCATTCTGGTTGATGACTACATCAAAAACTCCCAAATCAAGAGATACATTATATTTCTCCTGGCATTCCTGACTTGGAGCATTCCAAATGGTAATGAAAGGGTGATCCAATATTTCCAGGTGATTCCCAGAAATTCCCTGGTTGCAAACCATTATGAAAACATTCAGCAAGCAGACCCACATCTTCAAGTATGCCAGAACGATTATCTGACTTGAAAGACAGTTCCCAAGATGACTGGACAGAGCTCTACTCTCTTTGCCCCTTTCCAACACCACTAGCTTCTCAATTATGCTGGAGGAATATCACGAGCTTTCTAGCAAAGGAGGAAATTCAGTCCAATGAACGGAAAAACAGAACAGATTTTTTTCCCCTTCCTAGCCAGATGAAGAAACTGTGAAAGAAAAAACTGCAAATTCTTGCTTGTTTTTGAAGAACCCAACTCTGATTCCTCCAGAGGTAAATCAAGCAGTAAATACAACCCAGAATCCTGTAGTGATCTGTAATGGAAATGTAGCCGGGAGCTGGTACTAACCTTTGATATTTGCTTTTCCAATGACCTTGGTGGACCTTTTCGCTGACCTTAATGTTATCAGGACAGTCCTATGGACATACACTTTATCCCCTTCATTTTGTGCTCCCGGCACATCCGGCTTGGTTAATAACTTTTTATTTCCTTCAGAGAGAGTCCTTTTTCCCTCTTATGAAAGATCACAGAGGCCACTAGACACAATCCTTCTAAAACAAGTGGCTTAAGTATCAATCTCCTACAGGGAAAATGGAAAGAGGATTAAAATGAAAGCACAGGGGCAAAACAAGAATCAAGTAATGCCAGTAATGTTACAGATAAAACATTTTTCAAGCATTCTGAGCATTCTTATAAGTCAGCTCAGTAATCCTTACAATAGCCCCTGAAAGGTAGAACTCATCAGATATTACTCTCTGCCCCAGCAGATAAAACCCCCTTTGCCAAGGGAACATTTTGACTAAAGCCATTCAGTCGGTTTGTGGTTCCTGGACAATCTGAACAGATTACTTGCTGGTGGATGCATCAAATTCTTAACCCTTTCATTATAACAGCAGAATCTACCTGAGAGGTCAAGACGTCTGGTTTCCAGCTGTTGTTTTTTTATACATAAAGATCCACAAAATAATCCCGCAGAAAGAGCTGTACCAGTCTCATTCAGCTAAGGCTCAATCTAGTTAATGAAAATACAATCTAAAAAGCAAGTAAGTAGCAGCTTGCTATCCTTCCATGAACAAAATCTGGCTGCCTGAAAAGACTGCTTCACCCTACCTAACAGCATAGCTGGCCATGGGTTTTACGGTACTCTGTATTTTCCTTGGCAGAGAACAGGAGATCTCTTGCCTCGTGTGTCAAAATAATCTATGTGTTTTTGATAAAACGTGTTAAGGTTGCCTTGCTTGATGGGTCCGTTTCTTCCAAGAGAGTTCTCACTTTCAACCCCTTTTTTGTTCTTATTTAGATTCAAGGAAGCATTGTTTGACAACATACATTTACTATGTGTATAGTTTACTGTGTTATAACAGCTTTTCCCCAACATGGTATCTTCCAGTATTTTGTACGTCAACCCAGCATGGCTAGTGATTGAGGCGATGGGATTTTGACTGTAACCTTCTTGGGGCAAGGATTTGCTTTGCTGCTATGTTCTCAAAAGCCTCTGTGTACATCAGCAAAGCTGGAGGGATGGAAAGGGAGGAGATATAACTCTAGCAACAACAACAAGTCATTTTTATTTCATAACATATAATCTAAGTCCTTTCAGTTCAGAATTTAAGATGTGTATAGTGAACGTGTATCGAATACAGTATTTACACTGAAAGGGCTAGGAATGTTAACATGCAGGAAAGGGACAACTTTGGGGTACAGAAACATGCCTTAACAAATACTGGTTGGCATACATATGACACTATTGTGAACAAACAGAACATGTTCACTGGCAGTTGCCATGGAATTTATTCTTATTATTATGTGAAATATTAGAACAGGTGGACAAATAAAATAATGGATACCTCTTTCTCTCTTCCAACCCCAGTCCCTGACTCCTGTTCAACAAAACAGGTATCTCACTAAAGCTACAAAGTGCCCATAATTCAAGATTAAGTCCTGCTTCCTTCTTTCTTTGCCTTTATCATTACCCAAATGTTTTTTCTTATAAACTGTACAATGACAACAGCGTGTAAGATTGCAGAAAGTAAAGTATTAAGGAAGGGATGGTGGTAAGAAGAAAAATATGGACAATGAGGAAGTAAATAGTACAAAGCAATAGCTCATTAAGAAAGATGTTGATGCTGAAGTATTATTACCTAACCACAGGAAGCTTACAGTTTGTGATCTTTAAGCAGGTATAAATCTAACCATCTTCCTTGCCACAACTGCAAGAGCATGTGTCTCATTAACTCTACAAAGTTCTACCTCATCACAGCATGAAGGTGATCCTTGACTCTTGAAACCTATGCCAGTGGAGCACAAGCTATGGCAGGTTCTACCAAGTGGGTAAGGATATGAGAATACTGTGGTGCCTCGCAAGACAATGTTAATTTGTTCCGCGAAAATCGCTGTCTTGTGAAAAGATCATCTTGCGAAACACGGTTCCTCATTGGAATGAACTGAAATCTATTTAATGAGTTCCAATGGGGAAAAAATCGTCGTCTTGCAAAAATCGTCCATAGAAAACATTGTCTTGTGAAATGCGGTTCCCCATTGGAATGCACTTAAATCTATTTAATGAGTTCCAGTGGGGGGGGGAAGCCACCTTGCGAAGCATCGGTCTAAAAAAATCCCCCGTCTTGCAAAATGTGGTTCCCCATTGGAATGCACTGAAATCTATTTAATGCGTTCCAAGGATAGTTGTGCCTTACTGCTTTGGCTATGTTTTGGTTTTGCTTATGTTTTTTGGTATGGTGCTTGTTTGATCCATTTTAGTATTTATATACTCACTGTTGCTAGCTTTAAATACTGTATTTTAATGATGTAAGCTTCCTTGGGTCTTTTTCAAGGAGAAAGGCAGGGTAAAGATATTTTAAATAGATATATAAATAATTTAATTTACAAATAGCAAAGCTGTGACCTTCCATACATTGCTGGGTTACAGCTTCCATCCTTCTTGACCATTGGCCGTGGTGATTGGGGCTGCTAAGAGTCTGAGTCTCAAAACATCTAGAGCCATTGCGTCTTTGCTTCTCCAACTCCTTGACTGGATCGATTCTTTAAAGTCTTTCTCCCTCTCCAGAGGCAATACAGGCTTTTAATTCAAGCTGCCAGTATTAATAATCACAAGACTACCTCATGAGGAATCATGTGATTAATCTGAGGTATTTTTTTCCCCTGTGATCCTGCTAGTGACTGTCTCTGGACAAAAAGATTAATCTGCCTTGCATCATTACAATAATCTGTAGAGAAAAAAGGAACAAGTTCGCTAAATGGCATCACCAGAAGATTTCCATAAGTTAAGAAGTTCAGGGAAGAAGTTAGTGTCTCACAACACAACAGCAAATGCCTACATTAATTTCTTAATTCGTTTTATGCCAAATGAGTTATGTTGTTGGGCATAACTAGTAGGGTTTGGGCAGCTAAATTCTAGAAGAGCAGCAGCAAGAGCCATTGCGTCTTTGCTTCTGGGTTAAACCGCAGAATCCTCTGTACTGCAAGGTCAGAATACCAGCACTTGTAAGATCAAATCCATGCGATGGAGTGAGCGCCCGTCACTTGTCCCAGCTCCTGCCAACCTAGCAGTTTGAAAGCATGTAAAAATGCAAGTAGATAAATAGGTATCACCTCGGTGGGAAGATAACGGCATTCTGTATCTAGTCGCATTGGCCATGTGATGATGGAAACTGTCTACAGACAAATACTGGCTCTACGGTTTGGAGACTGGGATGAGCACCCTGTCCTAGAGTCTGACACGACTGGACTAAATGACAAGGGGAAACTTTATCTTTACTAGCAGCAAAATCAGTAGGACTATCGTATGGAACTTTATGGCATGAATGTTCATTGGCAAGTTTACTTCATCAACAAAATCTAAATGACAAGGGGAAACTTTACCTTTACTAGTAGCTAAATCAGTAGGACTATCCGTATGGAACCTTATGACATGAATATCCATTGGCAAGTCTACTTCATCAGCAAAACAAAAGGGAACATTAAAACTCCCAGGTCTGTATCACTGCAGATAGGAAGGAGTAAGGGTGGCCACTCTGCACAGATTCAGATGGAAATATCCAAAATACAAACCACAGGAACTTGCCTTATATGCCAATGAAATTAAGACCAGACATTATTTATTTATTTATTCATCCATCCAACATGCCTGATGTATGGGGGTTAGTGAACTTTACAGGAACAGTGGGAGTCTCTGGCCCAAGAAACCTATCATCAAGCATTCAAGAGGAGTAAAAAAGTGAACGATGGGGGTCGGGAAGAGGCTGCCAATGTTTTCAGACCGTAAGATGTAGGGATCTGACTCATGTTGAGTCATCTAAGGCTGGGCTGTGTCCTCTGCCTTAAACACAGCTGTTATTTCAATAAGTAAATAAAAACTCAGGCAAAAGATGATGGGGTCCTCCAAGCAAACGCGGCATCTATGCAGACACCCTAAAAAGCGCGGCTCTGCTAAGCGGCTCGCCACCCTCCCGCAGCCACGCCTTGCTTTCCTGCCCTTCTTTGGCGGGGGGGGGTCCTCCTAGCTCCCGCCCCACCCCGAGGCGGCCGAGCTTCCACGAAGGACAAGCAGTGGGACCCCCCTCCCCGGGCGGAGGGGGAAACAAAGGCAGGCTCCGCGCCAGGAAAAGCCGGGGGGAAAAAAAGGAAGCGAAAACTCACCGGGTCCTCCGGGGAAGCGGTTTATTTCCCCAGCCCCGCCCCTTCTCCAACTTTTGGCCAATGGGGATGGAGGGTGGGGAGCCCCTTCCAAAAACCAACCCGGGGAGACACGTGGACGGTGTTGAGTTTACGGGTCCTCAAAAGGGTGTGTGTTGAAGGCGGGAGGCGAGGGCGGGAAGAAAACGGACGAGGGTTTTTTCTTTCTGTTTTGTTGTGCGCCGTGAAAGTCGTGATATAAGGTTTTAAAGACGCGTGGGATATTTTAGGAGTGTTTTTTTTTTACCATTACCGATCCCTAGGGCGTTCCCCCTCTCCTCCCCCGTGTGGGATTCGAACTCTTGTGCTAGCCCCACTCTCTAGCCGCCGCTGCCCCCGCTTTTCCTCATATCTTCGATGGGGTGGGGATTAAGGAACAAAGGAGCGGCGGAGGGGAGGCAAGTCAGGGCACGGATAGCATTCTTAGGAGCGTTTTCCGAATCTCGTTCCCTCGGGACGCCGCCTTCAGGGGAGGGGAGGTCGGCGAGGCTGAGCAGGTCGGTGGGGCAGAGGAAGGCCGGCCCTTTGGCTGTCGGGGGGGCGCAGAGCCCCCCCCCGCGAGGGGCTTTTCCCTCCGCGCTTCTTCGCCTGAACGGGAAGGCCTCGGGGGGAGGGGGCAGGCGCCGCGGCGGTCCAAG